GCTGCGTTAGTTCGTGTTACTTTATATCCTGTTCTACTGTCGTGAGCGCAGGCTCCACACGCCTTTGTGCGGCGAGTTCATACCGCGGCCGTTCTGTAATTTCCCCTTCCTACACCGTAGTTATGTCCTGTCAGGTGGGAATTAAAACGGTGATTGGCAAACAAAAGAAACGCGAAGCAGCCACATTCCGTGACGCCTCGATTATGGATGATATTGGTCGCGAAAGCCTACGTGTTAAAACGCCTCTAGTGATTGAGAGCAGCCGTGCGTAGATTGTCTGGATACACCACCCCAAGATGAACCCGAACGCGGCGTAACATGTTGGGGCGGTGCTGACGTGGCCCGGCAGGGAGCGCTTTCGCCACTCGTTGCAGAGCTTCGCGGTTCGAATGCAGCGGGCCGCGCTGCTTAATCAACACGGCGTGTATTCGCAGTGAAATGCGATCCTGTCTGCTTCACCGTGGACGTTAAAGATCACGTGACGTCGTTCGAACAGAGTAGGCTATTGTGTTCCAACGGCATGGTGCACATTTGAGTGATTACACTGCAAATCACCCGAATGGGATCACACACGCAGCAGCATTGCCCCCACTACCGTGAAGCTACTGCAGACCACGTGTGTGAAACACAGCCTCGTTTATTAATGATGGTAGCCCCAAAATATAAACACGAAATAGATAAGCACACATTTCATCTCCAGATCTCCGTCTCTCCATATCTCGCTTTCCACCTCCGATGAGCACGGTTGGCTACGTACGGTGCGAAAGAAGTTCAACGTAAAAACATATACAGGTATTTTCTACGCAACCTATTAGCCCCACGGCCTCCTGGGGGTACATCATTTCAGCAGCATTCAGGACAAATCACAACCCTGGACCGATTCGACACGCAGCCGTCTCATCAGCAGAGGCAGCCTCGCTTCAGTGAATGCCGGTGTACGAGTGGCACTGATCGCACGCACACCCCGAGTTGTATGCACGGGGCACTGTTGGAGCTTTGGCCTCCTCGCCTTCCACTGCAGCAGAGTGCTTTTGAAAGAGGAGAGTCACGAAATCCGCACATATCGCCATGCCCTCCTGACCTCCCCAGCCCGGGATAATCCGCGAGGTTTCGTAACGGAATCTGTTAATCCTGCAGTGTGCGTGGAACAAACCTGCACGGACTTGTTTGGAATGATTCCACGCGGACAACGGCGATTAAACATCTTGTCGGCGTGTGTTTTGTACGCGCTGTCGTTGGTTATTACGGGGCAGGGTGTGTTTAATCGGTCGTAAAAAAACGTCCAACTTTTTAAAGCAACCGTGAAGTGAAACGTTCCACTCACCTGGGAAACAGTTGTACGCTGTTGCTCAAAGGTGGTCAGTATCATACTCTTTGGCTCTTTCGGTAAAGTCACGTAGGTAGAAATAAAATAAAACAAATCACAACGTTTCAAATCAAGATTGGTCAGTATAAGTGATGCGTGTATCTTTTATACCCAGGGCGTGTTCCTAAAATATATAACACCCCAAAACCAACGGTCATGAAAAGTCCCAAACAGCTTGCCCAATAGCAATGCTCAGTCTTTGGTTTTTTCGGTAAAGTCACGTAGGTGAAAATTAAAGATTTTGTTGTTTTCATTTTATTTTCACCTCCGTGACTTTACCGAAAAAAAACAAGAGTATGGATCATTGCAGTCACGAAAACTTCAAATCTAGAAGCAATGCTCAGATCTGAAAAAAATGTACAGGTAAGATTTGCAAGGACATACAACCTCCGTTTTTTTGGAACAGCTGTACAATCTTATGAGGGCTGTGCGATTCCAGTCCAATCTTCTACACACTATGGAGGAGGCTCTCTCACTCGCCTGATTGTTCAAGTGAACGTGTTTCAGAGTGACGTGTTGATGCCAGTGGGAGCTGGTGGAAGTGTTGACTTTCACCCGATCACACCTTTCATTACTAAATTTATAAGAGGACAACAATACACATCTGTCTCTCCACAAACAAAATAAGTGGAGTGTTTTTACACACCCCATCGTCCCACGACTCCACGGGAGTGCAGAATATCGGCATCATTGACGGCATTGTCGGCGTCCTTGACAACGCAATGCGGCTTCACACAGTGCAGAGCATCTCTAGGTGTGACCGCGTCTCATGACGCTGAACATAAAGAGTGAGCACAGTTATTTAATACTTTATATATATAAAGAGAGAAGCATTCAGTCATAGGCAGACGAGATGAGAAAGGTCTTCAGCTTGGACTTGAACAGGGGCAGGGAGCCGGCGGCAGGAACGCCTGGGAAGGGAGGTTCTGACAATGGGAGCAGCAGCCATGAATGAGCGACCTTCCAGGACATTTGCACACACACACACGCGTGATCTCTTCAGCAACGGAAAACTGCGTGGCTGTGCAAGCGATATTGGTGTTCATGCGGGTGGCTTAGTTAACACAGACGGGGGTCTTCAACGTCTACATTACAGCATGTCGCGCACGAAGCTGGAATTACGTTGTCACATGTGGAGCGGGGCACCCGTGCTCCGACCTCGCTGCTCCTGATAGAATTCTGAATAAAACAGCGGTGAGGGTCATGGATGATCCAGCACTAACTGCATCACGGCAGTCACTCGCTCGTTCCCCGTCGGTCAGTTGCTTCCTTCTGTCGCTACGACGATGGTGACTGCTCACCTGAACTTCACTCATTGATTCCTCCGCCCATATCGAGGACTCGGGCCTACTGGAGTGACTGTTTCGTCTCATTAACAATGTTCAACCACCACGCTGCAGGTCACAACACCACTCACTCACCCACTCACCACACTGCAGATCACACCACAACCCACTCACCCACCCACTCACCACACTGCAGGTCACAAGACCACTCACTCACCCACCCACTCACCACACTGCAGGTCACAACACAACCCACTCACCCACCCACTCACCACACTGCAGGTCACAACACAACTCACCCACTCACCCACTCACCATACTGCAGATCACACCACAACCCACTCACTCACCCACTCACCACACTGCAGGTCACAACACCACTCACCCACTCACCACACTGCTTGTCACAACAACACTAACTCACCCACTCACTCACCACACTGTAGGTCACACCACAACCCACTCACCCACCCACTCACCACACTGCAGGTCACAACTCACTCACCCACTCACCCACTCACCATACTGCAGATCACACCACAACCCACTCACTCACCCACTCACCACACTGCAGGTCACAACACCACTCACCCACTCACCACACTGCTTGTCACAACAACACTAACTCACCCACTCACTCACCACACTGTAGGTCACACCACAACCCACTCACCCACCCACTCACCACACTGCAGGTCACAACTCACTCACTTACCCACCCACTCACCACACTGCAGCTCACAACTCACTCACTCACCCACTCACCACACTGCAGGTCACAACACACTCACTCACCCACCCACTCACCACACTGCATGTCACAAGTCACTCACCCACTCACCACACTGCAGGTCACAACAACACACTAACCCACTCACCACACTGCAGGTCACAACAACACTCACTCACCCACCCACTCACCACACTGCAGGTCACACCAAAACTCACTCACCAACTCACCACACTGCAGGTCACAACTCACTCACCCACCCACTCACCACACTGCAGGTCGCAACAAAACACTCACCCACTCACCACACTGCAGGTCACAACTCAATCACTCACCCACTCACCACACTGCAGGTCACAACTCACTCACTCACTCACCCACTCACCACACTGCAGGTCACACCACAACTCACTCACTCACCCACTCACCACACTGCAGGTCACAACACAACCCACTCACCCGCTCACCACACTGCAGGTCACAATACAACTCACTCACTCACCCAATCACCACACTGCAGGTCACAACAAAAATCACTCACCCACTCACCACACTGCAGGTCACAACACAACCCACTCACTCACCCACTCACCACACTGCAGGTCACAACACAACCCACTCACCCGCTCACCACACTGCAGGTCACAATACAACTCACTCACTCACCCAATCACCACACTGCAGGTCACAACAAAAATCACTCACCCACTCACCACACTGCAGGTCACAACACAACCCACTCACTCACCCACTCACCACATTGCAGGTCACAACACAACCCACTCACCCGCTCACCACACTGCAGGTCACAATACAACTCACTCACTCACCCAATCACCACACTGCAGGTCACAACAAAAATCACTCACCCACTCACCACACTGCAGGTCACAACACAACCCACTCACTCACCCACTCACCACACTGCAGGTCACAACACAACCCACTCACCCGCTCACCACACTGCAGGTCACAATACAACTCACTCACTCACCCAATCACCACACTGCAGGTCACAACACAACCCACTCACTCACCCACTCACCACACTGCAGGTCACAACACAACCCACTCACCCGCTCACCACACTGATTCTTCCCTCGCACCGCTCCACGTTGGAACCCCCGTAATCTAAGCGAGTGAGTGCTGTTTGTCGGTGTCCGCTTGGCGTTGTCGGGGGCACGGCTAGGGGCGCTGCTGGCACGGGGCGTCTTCATCAAACTCCGCTCGGCAGCTCCCCCGCTTTGTCCCCCGCCACCACCGCCACAATGCGGGAGCGCGGGGCCTGGCAGAGCTCCCGGCCGCCGCTTTCATCGCCCGCGGCCCCTCGGGCGCGCCCCTCCGCGTCGCCTGGAGACGGCGCCCCGGGGGGCGGGGGGGTAGACGGGGGGGGGAGACGGCGCCCCGGGGGCGGGTGGGCGCCCCGGGGGCGGGTGGGGGGAGACGGGGGGGGGGAGACGGAGCCCCGAGGGGCGGGTGGGGGGAGACGGGGGGGGAGACGAAGCCCGGGGGGCGGGTGGGGGGAGACGGGGGGGGGGAGACGGAACCCCGGGGGCGGGTGGGCGCCCCGGGGGCGGGTGGGGGGAGACGGGGGGGGGGAGACGGAACCCCGGGGGCGGGTGGGGGTAGACGGGGGGAGACGGCGCCCCCGGGGCGGGGGGGCGCCCCGGGGGCGGGTGGGGGGAGACGCGCGCCCCGGGCCCCAGAACAAGTCTGGGGCGAGCGCGCCGCCGGCTCCTCTCGGAATCTCCCCCCCCACATCGCCCCCCCCCCCCTGCACTTTAAATCTCCCCACGTCTCCAGAGATCTCCCTGGCAACTCCTGATGCCGTCTTGAGATCTGAGGGCGGTGCCGCTGGTCCGTGATCCGGCAGCGACTCGATACATCTCCTTGGCCTCTGCCGACATTTGAAGGTTCCTCGGCGTGTCCCGACAACTCCTCCTCCTCCTCCGCGCATCTCCCCGCGTCTGCTGACATCTCGGGGGGTCTTCCGACACTCTCAGCCCACGGGCTCCGAGGAGGCCAAGACGGCCCTGGAGAGGGGACCCCTCTTAGGAGACATCGTGGGGGGAGGGGGCCTGGTCCAGCTCGGAGCCTTCATCGCCTCCTGCACCCCCTCGCCCGTCACTCCCCTCCGCTCCTGCCTCGGCCGGCATGGAGAGGACGCGAGCCCGTGGAGCGACGGCGAGGGGACCTGGGCTCGGGGCCCCAAGGGGATACCGAGGCGCCGTGGAGACCCCGGGGGGATACCGAGGCGCCATGGAGGCCCTGTCCGTGTTCGGGCCGCAGGGACCCGGGGTGACCTCGGCTCCTCCACGGGGTTGAGTCTCCCCCCCCTCTCCTCCTCATCCCCATCGTCTCAGCCCCACGCACTCTCACACACTCTAACACACTCTCACACTCTCTAACACTCTCTCACACACACTCTCACACTCTCTAACACTCTCTCACCTCTCACACTCTAACACTCACTCTCACACCTCACTTTCTAACACTCTCTCTAACACTCTCACACTCTCTAACACTCTCTCTAACACTCACACTCTCTAACACTCTCACACACACTCTCTCACACTCTCACCTCTAGCACACCCTCACTCTCTCACACTCTCTCACACTCTCTCACACTCTCACACACTCTCTAACACTCTCTCTAACACACTCACACTCTCTAACACTTTCTAACACTCACCTCTCACACTCTCACCTCTAGCACACTCTCACTCTCTCACACTCTCTCACACCTCACACTCTCTCACACTCTCACCTCTAACACTCTCTAACACTCTCTAACACTCTCTCACACTCTCACTCTCACCTCACACTCTCTCAAACTCTCTAACAGTCTCTCACACTCTCACCTCTTACACTCTCGCTCACACTCTCACCTCTCACACTCTTTCTCACACTGTCTCACACGCTCTCACACTCTCTAAGACTCACCTCACACACTCTCACACGCTCTCTAACACTCTATCTAACACTCACACTCTCACACTCTCTAACACACTCTCTAACACTCACACTCTCACACACTCTCTAACACACTCTCTAACACTCACACTCTCTAACACTCTATCTAACACTCACACTCTAACACTCTCACACTCTCTAACACTCTCACACACTCTCTAACACTCTATCTAACACTCACACTCTCTAACACTCACACACTCTCTAACACACTCTCTAACACTCTATCTAACACTCACACTCTCACACACTCTCTAACACTCTATCTAACACTCACACTCTCTAACACTCACACACTCTCTAACACACTCTCTAACGCTCTCACACTCTCTAACACTCTCTAACACTCTATCTAACACTCACACTCTCACACACTCTCTAACACTCTATCTAACACTCACACTCTCTAACACTCACACACTCTATAACACACTCTCTAACACTCTCACACTCTCTAACACTCTATCTAACACTCTCACACTCTCTAACACACTCTCTAACACTCTCTAACACTCTATCTAACACTCACACTCTCTCACACTCTCTAACACACTCACACTCTCTAACACTCACACTCTCACACTCTCTAACACTCTCACACTCTCTAACACTCTATCTAACACTTATACTCTCACACTCTCTAACACTCTATCTCACACTCTCTAACACTCTCACACTCTCTAACACTCTCACACTCTCTAACACTCACCTCTCACACTCTCTCACACTCTCTAACACTCACTCTCTAACACTCTCACACTCTCTAACACTCTCACATTCTCTAACACTCTCACACTCTCTAACACTCTCACACTCTCTAACACTCACCTCTCACACTCTCTCACACTCTCTAACACTCACACTCTCTAATACTCTCACACTCTCTAACACTCTCACACTCTCTAACACTCTCACACTCTCTAACACTCACCTCTCACACTCTCTAACACACTCTCTAACACTCTCACACTCTCACACTCTCTAACACTCTCACACTCTCTAACACTCTCACACTCTCTAACACACTCTCTAACACTCTCTAACACTCTATCTAACACTCACACTCTCTCACACTCTCTAACACACTCACACTCTCTAACACTCACACTCTCACACTCTCTAACACTCTCACACTCTCTAACACTCTATCTAACACTTACACTCTCACACTCTCTAACACTCTATCTCACACTCTCTAACACTCTCACACTCTCTAACACTCTCACACTCTCTAACACTCACCTCTCACACTCTCTCACACTCTCTAACACTCACACTCTCTAACACTCTCACACTCTCGAACACTCTCACACTCTCTAACACTCTCACACTCTCTAACACTCACCTCTCACACTCTCTCACACTCTCTAACACTCACACTCTCTAACACTCTCACACTCTCTAACACTCACCTCTCACACTCTCTAACACTCTCACTCTCTCTAACACTCACACTCTCTAACACTCTCACACTCTCTAACACTCTCACTCTCTCTAACACTCACCTCTCACACTCTCTCACACTCTCTAACACTCACACTCTCTAACACTCTCACACTCTCTAACACTCTCACACTCTCTAACACTCTCACTCTCTCTCTGCCGTGTTTTGTCTTCAGCGTTGCGAGTTCAAGTAACGTCGAGCGTCTCATACTCGCAGGCTGATTCCGTAGTGCGTATAAACATAGTGACGTAGATTCCCTAGCGCGGATAAGTGGCCTCGCTTGACCTTTAGCAGCGGCACCGACTCCGTGTTGACTTACAGGGTCATTGGCCGGGAAGGAGGAGCGACACCTTTAATACCGACAGGAACCCTCTCGGTGCGGATTATTATACCCCGCTGCTGTTGTTGTTGTTTAACTTCCGCGACGTGCAGTGCACATGGGAATGGTCAATTGTACCGGTTTGACCCGGACAATTGGAACAGAGAAGCCTTGCCAGAAGTCTGCTTGCTCTACTTTCCTTACATCCCTCCTCCAGCATAATTGCAATTGAATAATATTGTGCACTACTGATGCAGTAGCTGGAAAGTACAGCACTATTCTCGCGTATGATGGCAGCAAGCAGCAGAAGTGAGTTGAGGATCTAAGTGACAATGTTGAGGTCTGCTGGCCACGAGAAGGGCTTCAGGAGTTGAAGTCGTTCGGTTGCTCCTCCGTTAGAGGAACGCAGCTCTCGGTGCTCGTAGCTTTCACTCCATGGCCCATAGTGTGGGTCGCATGGCCACAATCGCACTCCTGCAGTTTGTTGCTTAACTTTCCATTTACGGGAGACGTGCACATCGGCCGGTTGTCGGTGGTTCCACCCGTGTCTTCGAGGATGGATGTCAAAGCCAGAATGGGGGACGGGGGGCGATTGTTCTGGACGTCCGCAAGCACAGACAGACACAACCAGGTGGAGACGTGTTGCATCAACCCCACCTGTCACGTACAGGAGACACGCGGCTTGCTGCTCATTGGACCTCGAGTGACGGCGGCGTGGCATCGAGCAGCCAATCGCCCGTCGAGCCAGCTCACAGTGGCCGGCATCCCGAGGTGTGTACCTGAACACGGGGTGCGTGGTGGATGTGTGATGGGAATTGGCAAAGTAGGGGGCACAGGTGGAGCATCGGCGAGTCATCTCAGTCAACCCGTGGCACCTGGGTCTGTTCCTGACCTCCTGCTCACGGGCGTTCGACACTTCACGTAGCCTGAACGTGCACCTAGCCTGGCACAAGTGCCGTGGTGATCTCACCACCACTTAGTGGTGAATGGCGGTTGTTGTTGATAAATGTGTGTGGTGAGGACTCCACCGTACCCACATATTGACATAATACAGGAGTTTTTTGGGTTAGATCACGATCTAAATACAGGTTTTTTTCGGGTAATATTAGTTGTGAAAGCCGACGTGTTAAACTATATTATATGGCAGCAATACGTTCAGGAGCTAGATGCTAATATTGAGGTCTGCCAGCCACGAGAGAGCTTCAGGAGAGAGTTTGTGTCCGTTTTTTTCTCTAATCCTCCATTGAAAGAGCGCAGACGACTGTATGGTCCATAGTGTGGGTTGCATGGCCACAGACGCACCACTGTGGCGGTATCTTTAATCTTGTCATTTATGAAGGAGATGCGCCCATTGGCCTGTTAATGTTCTGATGCAGTTGACTGGTTACAATGGTGCCTTCGAGGAATTTGTTGGGTGGCCTGTGCTCAGCAGCTTTTGAGACGACTCGGTTCCAGAGGAGCTACCAGGCTTTCACTGCCGGAGTGAGTGAAGTTTTAAGCCTGCAGCAGCTAATTGATGAGACTGGTGATGGAATAACGAAACTAAACTACTTTTATTTTCCCAGGTAAGGCCCATTGAGCTATATAGCTCCTTTTTCAGAAGCGACCTGGCCACAAATGATAGCTCAAAGAAGTGGCTTATCACGTGGAAATGTATAGCAACCAAATACTCTAAACGCGTGATGTTGATTCTAAATGTGGAGGGAAAAACCGGAGGACTTGCAGAAAAATTACTGCAACCACAGGGAGAGATACATGCAAATTACAAATATACTGGCATCAAGGTTGGGATAAAACCCACGACCACCTGCATACCAGGCGAGGTAGTTAACATCTCTCCACCGTGGCGCCCACAGTGGCGTTAACAAGACTGGTGATGGAATAAAGAACATAATCCGTTGATGGGTCCTCCCGCCGTGGAGATGGAGCGATGAGATTGATTCAGGTATCAGGTGGATGGTAGCAACACTGGACCGTGAGGGATGGCACGGCATGGGGAGGCCTTCATTCAGCAGTGGATGGACAATGGCTGATGGTGATTACATTCACAGAGGCGTTCACGATTTTTAAAGTGTCAAAACAATCTCTCTGCACCGGTAGATTAGATGCCGATTTTGTTTCTGCGCCTGCTGGCTGTTAGGCACAACATTCCCTGCGAAACCCAAAACATTGCAGCTCTCTAGCCGGAGCAATTATTGGTTGTCCTTTGAATAAATAACAGTATAGAATGTCAAAAAAATGTGCAATTCAATCTAAGCCACACATTTACCAGCCTACCCCAATCCAGGAGGTCAGTGCAACGTTTTATAAATAGCAGACCTTGGAGCAATGCAAGTTGAGACATTCAAGAGTAAACTTCTCTGATGCCCTTACCCTGGCAACTTCAATCACCGGTCCTTGCCACACCCTCGCCCAGGTGATTGTGTCACGCTAACCACCCTTCGCCATTCATTTGCACCCTCCGCGATGTTTGGTACCAATTCGGTGTGTGTTTACAGCTGCTGCTAAACGCACGCTGCCACTTGCGCACAATGACTCCGGATCACATTGCGCGACTTCTTTATAAAGGGGTAAATCCCTTCCCATCTCAGGAACGTGAGAAATGTGTGCATGTTGAACACATTTGCACCGTATGTAGCCAACCGTGCTAATCCGAGGTGGTTACGGCTTGCAAGAAGCCTTCATCCAGCAGCGGACTGATCATGGCTGATGATGATGAATCCCTCCCCAGGGCTGCTCCTGGGCCCAAAAGGCTGACCTTGTGGACAGGGGACTGGCCCACGATCATAAGAGGAGGTTTCCTCATTGTGAAGAGGAGGGCCCATCGCGTGATGAAGAGACGAGCTATCGCCATGATGAGGAGCTTTCTCACGATGAGGAGAGGACGCGAGCCCTTCACGATGAGGAGACGGTTGACGCAGATGACAAGAGGCACCTCTGTGACGAGGTGGAGAGGCTCCCTCATGGTGACGAGGTGAGAAGGCAACTCCAGAGTGTGAACAGACGCCTTCACGAGCAAGGGGAGCAGCGTACTCGTGCCGAGGAGTGGAGGGGGCTTCTTCATGCTGAGGTTTCTCATGACAAGAAGAGGATTCGTGACGACGTTCTCTCCAGGTGAGTTAGTGCACCTCCTGCTGCAACGGTTATAATTACACAATTGCAGCACGTTATATTTATGGCCATTTGTCAGTTGACTATTGGATGACAAAGGCCTCCTCACACTGCCTTACAAAGGGGGTTTGTTCGATGGTCAGCGCGGGTTGCTAAAAAAGGGGGGGCCCGGACTGATCCGGTTTGGACGTCACTCACCTCTGATGTTAGCCGTGGCCGGAAATCAAACTCAGGCCGCGGGGTTCATAGCGCAGTGCGCTAACCACTGCACCACCACCGCTGCAAAATTCATCAGCTTACAATCTAGACAACCCAGAAATAGTTGGTTGCCTTGAATGTGCGGGCCACTTACAATTGTTGAATGGTTAATAGTCATATGTCGGTGCGAGGATCCCCGCTTCCTTTGCATGATTGCCATGGCCCCCGTGTCCCCGTAGCGACGGTGACCTGGCTCTCCCTGCTCTTCTGGGCGCCGACCTCGGCACTCCGCGTGCCGCGCGGGAACTCCTCGTCGCCCGGCTCCCTGCAGCGGTGAATCTCCCTGCTGGGCGTGATTATACGTGTGTCGTGTTTCAAATGGTTCGCATTCCTGGTTGGGGGTTGACTAAGCCCATCATCAATTCAGGGGTTGATAAAATGTCCACCACTTTGAGGGGAAGTCAGCAGTGGTTGTCCTCTGGTTAAACTCATCCCCATCATAGGAACGCCGCGTCTCCATGCATCGCCACCAAAATCGCCAGCACCCTCGCCGTGGCGTAGCCGCTTTTTGTAACCTCAAGAAACTCCGGAGCTTACAAAACCGTCTCCCCCACGTGGTCCTTGGTACCCATAAACCCTGGCTGGACTCCCTCTACTGGCTTCCCATTTCCAGCAGGGTCAGCTACAATTTCGCCTGCTGCCTATAGTTCTCGTTCTTCTCCGCAGCACGACTCACGACCTCCTCTCTCCGTGGCAGCCCCCGCTACCCGGAACGCAGCCATCATCGTACCGCTGCACATTCGAGCTGCAGCAGCAGCCGCGTTCAGTCCACACCGACTTTTAAAAGACATTTCGATTTAAAGCTTTCGTGACTGCAGGGATTCATCTTCTTGGTTCTTTCGGTAAAGTCACGTAGAAGGGAAGTAATACAATAATAAAAATAAAACATAATAAAACAATTCTCACGACGTTTCGGCCACAACGCAAGCAGCCGTCCTCAGGTGAAAACCAGGTCCGTCGAGGCGACAGAGTCTGAATGAAACAGCACACGAGCTTGGAGCATATATATAAGCTGGGCGCATTGACAAAGGAATTTGCATATCAAAAGGAATTTAGCATATTTATGGGAAATGCAGGAATGTGATTAGTCCTGCATATGCATGTGCATTATGCAGGATTAACAGCATCAAAGGGAGCTGCAATTACAATACTCCGATTGATGCTCCTGCTGTTGTGGAGTGACTCATGCAGCCAGCTATGGCTGCAGGGTTTTGGTAGTACATGTTGTTTATGCCATTTATTGTGAAAATTCCGTCAGTTCCTATGATTGCTTTTTCATTGCCTTCATGGCTTTATTTTGGTGATTTCGAAAAGTGTATTGGTTTAGCCATGTTTGTGTTGTTGTAGTACAGAGTTAGACTGATGGCCTTAATCTAAGTTGTCTTGTGGTTGTTGTTGTTGTTTGACTTGCATCCCACTGGGATTTTTGCACACAGCGTTGGTGTACGGTGTTTTTTCTGCAATATTTTTTGCTGTCTTTTCTTGGATTTTCTGTTTGCACTTAGTCACATATTCACTTTAAGATGTTTTTTGTTCATGTTTTTGTTTTTTGTTTGTTGCGGTTGCACCCGATTCAAGAGCTGAATGGCTCACAGGGCTATACCTAATAAATGAACTTGAACTTGAAATGAACTTGAAGTTACTGCTGCTGCTGAAATTACTGCTGCTGCTGCAGTTTCTGCTGCTGCAGTTGCTGCTGCTGCAGTTGCTGCTGCTGCTGCTGCACTTGCTGCTGCTGCTGCACTTGCTGCTGCTGCTGCACTTGCTGCTGCTGCAGTTGCTGCCTTATCCATTTTAATATAACACTATGTATTATTCTACCCACCCTAATGTGTATCACACTGCTATATGTTTACTATACAATTACGACACCATACATTACTCTGCACGCTGCACCATGCCAGTGAGTGGAACGCGGTCTGAAAGTCACCGTAAACGTGAACACAATCAGTTAAGATCCGAAATGGTTTATTACGTCCTTCCAATGATTGCTAAGCCAGAATCCATCTTCTCGGTTGAAATTGTCTCTGTGTTTGTATATGTGGATCGCCTCATGAACGAATCTCTCATGATAGCCAGATGGCTTGCAGAGAACCTCTGTCTTGGAGAAGTCAATGTCATGTGAGCCCACTGAATTGTAACAGTGATCTGCCACGGCTGAGGTGTTCTGCCACCTCAGCCGTGGCAGATCACTGTTACAATTCAGTGGGCTCACATGACATTGACTTCTCCAAGACAGAGGTTCTCTGCAAGCCATCTGGCTATCATGAGAGATTCGTTCATGAGGCGATCCACATATACAAACACAGAGACAATTTCAACCGAGAAGATGGATTCTGGCTTAGCAATCATTGGAAGGACGTAATAAACCATTTCGGATCTTAACTGATTGTGTTCACGTTTACGGTGACTTTCAGACCGCGTTCCACTCACTGGCATGGTGCAGTGTGCAGAGTAATGTATGGTGTCGTAATTGTATAGTAAACATATAGCAGTGTGATACACATTAGGGTGGGTAGAATAATACATAGTGTTATATTAAAATGGATAAGGCAGCAACTGCAGCAGCAGCAAGTGCAGCAGCAGCAGCAAGTGCAGCAGCAGCAGCAAGTGCAGCAGCAGCAGCAAGTGCAGCAGCAGCAACTGCAGCAGCAGCAACTGCAGCAGCAGAAACTGCAGCAGCAGCAGTAATTTCAGCAGCAGCAGTAACTGCAGCTCCCTTTGATGCTGTTAATCCTGCATAATGCACATGCATATGCAGGACTAATCACATTCCTGCATTTCCCATAAATATGCTAAATTCCTTTTGATATGCAAATTCCTTTGTCAATGCGCCCAGCTTATATATATGCTCCAAGCTCGTGTGCTGTTTCATTCAGACTCTGTCGCCTCGACGGACCTGGTTTTCACCTGAGGACGGCTGCTTGCGTTGTGGCCGAAACGTCGTGAGAATTGTTTTATTATGTTTTATTTTTATTATTTTATTACTTCCCTTCTACGTGACTTTACCGAAAGAACCAAGAAGATTTTAAAAGACACTTTAAGAGACACTCTTGGGCGAGACTGAGCTTGGCTCTGCAACTCAAAGTTGTCCTTGGTTACTCTCCCATCAAAATCACTGACACTAAGCTATGGATTGTTTATGTCACTTGCAATTGCATTTGACGTCGTATTTCCCAGTGTGTTTATATATTAGTACAAACGCATGTTTAATGTTTCTGTAAATTCTTTCAACTGTACGATGATCAGTAAAAAAATCATCTGCCCTAGCCGACTTGCGCTACAGGGAATTAATTATTTAACAGTGACTATTTGTGTTTGTGTGCAGTTGATTTCTGCTCTGATTTATATCGTCTTCATTGCTGTATCAGGGCAGTCGTGTGAATGAGACGATGCTGGTCTCTTGCGTTCTCCACTGATTAACTAAAACAAACTTGAAACGTTTCACATGTCGTCTGTGCAGGTGGCAGAGAAAAGTAAAACCTGCGTGGACACGGTGCCCAGTGGGCCCCCACAGCCGGCGGTGAGCCCCGTGTCCCACGCGGTGCACGGCTGCATGCGCAGTCCCAACGTCCGCGTGTCCGAGCGGTGCAGCGACGTCTCGCATGACCTCGTGCGCTGCCCCCCCGTCTACAACGACCTGGCCGGCGAGGTGAGCGCCTTTTGGGGAAACTCGCTCGGCAGCTGGAGTGCGCAAACCGCACGGGGGCTTAATTCACTGAATATTCTCTGGGTCGCCAAATTCCACATGGTGGCACGTGACCACGTAACCGGTTCAGACATCACTCACCGGTCATCTAAGCTGTGACGAGGAATCCAAATGAGCTCACCAGGTTCACAGCGCAGTGTGTGCCAATCACTAAACCACTGCTCCACCCCGAAAATAATGGTGAAGCATGTCAGACATTAGATGCTTTAGTGGGATGTGGATTGTGAGAGGTGCTAGATTTTGTCTCGGCTCTGGTATCTTCACCGTTAATTGTTGGGGTTTGACATCTTCCTCCATGAGTATTTGATGCCAACCCTACTGCAGCAGGCTAAGCCTACTTTGTGACTTTGTTTGATGAGGTGGACCCGGCCAGCGTGCAAGAGATGGACGAGGCGGGGCTGCTGGCAGAGCGAACGGGCGACGGAGCGGACCAGATGCTCGACCTGGGCCAAGTGTTCTGTGACCTGGCAGCCCTGGCGGAGCCGTGGCGGCCGCAGCTCTACACTGCGAGTGCCCCTCGCCACCACCCCTGCCAGCAAACACGATAGCTGTCTCCTATTTTAGGCCATAGGTTTTAGCTGGTGTAGGATGCTACGCTACAATAAATAATCATAATGTAATGCATAGCGCACACAGTATTTCATGGCTGTAATGACCGTGAGTGTTGATGTGTTCAGCCAAGGTCAGTGTCGCACGAAAGCCAGGCAAAAGAGGTGGGGTCTTTAGGTGTCTCTTAAGTTGAGGTGAATCAGGAGGTGAACAGGACGTGAATCAGGAACCCAACTACATTAACATTAATTAACCGGGAAAAAATGTCTTGGCAAAACACTTAAACATGCTGGGTGTCACTGGTGTTCCAGCTAGGGTCTAGTTGTGGGCATGCCGGGCATCTTGAAGATGTCAACGCTGCCAGATTAGTTTTGCTCAAATCCCATAATCCTCTATCCAGAAGAGCCCAAATGTGGCCCATTTGCCAGAGTGGAGCCCAAAGTTGGTTTTAAATCCGATTTCAAATTCATGCATGCCTGTGTATATGTATTTTCCTATTTATTAACATTAATGCACTGAGTAAATACATGATAATTGAGATTATATCTTTAACATTATTTTCGGGAAAACTGTCGTTGGTGAGACATTCGTTATGTACCACTGAAACACACAATGACAAGTTTCTAAAATAGCCTTCAGCGTGACAGCTCTAAGCTTTTACACAAGTAATAAAGGAGCTCTATCAAACAAGTGCACAGGGCTCACAATTTATTTTGCGGGTATAATAGATAATAAAAAGTGGCGGTTTAGTTCTTGTGTAAATAGAGGTGATTTTTTTGTTATCCACAATAGCTTTAAAAACTCCCATGCATGGGCAGCATTCCCTGGTGTAACCACCATGCCCGCCGCTCGCGTTCTCACGTGCAGGCCCGGAAATCGCAGGCGGACCACACTTTTTTTCCTCCCGGATGCTCTCACGAGTGATTCGGGGAAGATACGTGGGCAGAGGGGGCGATGAACTACTCCGATCTCTAACCTGTGACCTCTGGGGCTGTGCAGGACTCGATGCTGCAGGGAGCGGCTCCAAGTTCCGTCCTGGAAGACCTCCGACTGCCACGCACAGGCCTGTGCCTCCAGCTACACCTGCCGCTCAGGTGGGCTCACCATGGACACACTGAGCAATTCATCCTTGTGACAAGATGCGCAGTTACACTTGGCATCCAGGTCAGATCTGAATTAAAGTGTCACTGAACTTTTCAACTTGAGTGGTGCATCTCTTCATTGGCATCCCTGAGCCAGTGGAGGAAATTCCATTGTCTTATGCCAGGGGCCGGTCTCTCCATTGCACAGCCACTGATTGGCTAAGGCAATCCCAAACGTAATGCCCAAGTGGCTGGAAACCGTCGTCGGGTGTAACAGGCTACCTACTCAAAGCAATGGGGGTCGTTACTGTTAACGACCCACTACTCGTCCAGCGTTACGATACTCTTGAACATATTTCAACCACCAGAACGTCCGAAAAGGTCAAATGAGATTATGAGCCGGGTTGATTAAGTCGATTAGTCGACTAAAATCTGTAATCGACCACTGTATTCATGGTCAATCACTCGGGCCCCTTGAACAACGGTGACCGAAGGTGGGAAACCCCCAAAAAGCCACGGCCAGCGTAACGTGGCCGACAATGCCGATGACATCACCAAACCCTACCCATCACCTCCTGTCCAGCGGCACAGAGATGAGACTTAATAATCGAACCGATATTCGGCAGAACAACCGATTGTTTAAACAACCGGACACCCCAGCAGTAGATCTCATGCCAGGTGCCGTTTGCGTGCCCCGCAGAGGCACCCCCTTGTTGGGAGAGACGGGAGAATCCGCAGTTGCAGCAGCTGCAGCTCCATTGGGGGTTGCTAGAGCCGACTCGCCTCCCCGGAGGGACCAGACTGCGCCGCCGCAGCTCCGGCTGCAGTCCTACGTCAGCGTCGACGAGTACCTGCGGCGTCTGTCCGCGGAGGTGAGTCAGAGCGGCGCGGATTGCGACGTCGGCGCTTGTGGACATTTGCATGTATATCAAACATAACATTGTGACAAGATTTTGTTCCTTAGGAATTTCTCAAGAGAGTAAATTATTATTTATTTATTAAAATGGGAGTCATGTGTCAAGGGAAATCATTGATAACACAGCAGAACATCGACACCCACGAGTGTTTAAAGGCAGACTGGAATCAATCTGGAAATACTGAGGAGCAAGACTTCATCACCTCGATTGATCGTGGCTGCTGATGTGTATGCCCGAGGTCAGTGATGAGCGACCTGCGTCCCGTGGAGCCCCCCCCTCGTGGTGGCCTGCTCTTAGTGGGTTTAGGCCGATGCGTGGGGCCGTGATTAGTGCACAAGCACGGCGTCAAGCTTGTGACCCGCGGAGAAGAAGGAGGGCTGCTCATGTGGCCCACTAACCCGTCGAGGTTTCCCATCAATGCCCAAGTGTGACAATGTCATTCACAACGATTTAGCCAACCAGAGCAGTTAACTAACTTACATACGCGGCAGTCTTAAATAATCTATGGTGCATTGGCTAGTTAGTATATTACATTTTTCACATCTTCCTGTACAGGAGCCCGACCTTCTTGAAGTTTTACTGGCGGGGGAGGCCGGGGAGGACGGCCTCCGATCTGCTCGCCGCTCGGCCCGTGCCCAGAGCCCCACGGACGTTCAGGCGCAGCCGGAGGTGAGAGACAAAGGCCACGAGGGGCACCGCCGTCACCAGGTCTCGCTCGTAACATCCCCTTCCGTGGGCTACCAGGGGGGGAGAGCGACCGCAAAGGTCGCGTCAGGATCGTCGGGAACCCAGGCGAAACACGTTCGTCCCTGTGTGAGCACGCCGTCTCCATCGTGTCTCCAGCCGACCGACGGCGAGCTGCAGGAAAGGCTGCAGAGGCTGTGGGAGGCTCTGGGCATGTCCGAGTGGGAGCGCATGGCAATGACGATCAAGTACACATCCGCGGAGAGCGTGGGACACCTGCACCAGGTGATGGGCATGCGGTAGCAAGACAGTGTGCGCATAGCTCGCAATCATTGCTTTGAAGAGAACGCGCACCCATTCACACGGTATTAAAAACCTTGTGTTCGTTTTATCCCCGTGGTTCTTCACCGTGCCACATTTAAAATGTTTAGTCCCTAGGGCTCTGGGAGGAGGCAGCCACTCTGGTCACACGCAGGGAGGAGCTGCTGAGGAGCCTCGCCCGGTTCGAGCGATCAGCCTCGTGCCCGGATCGGCTGCTCCATAAAGGTCAGCCCCGAGGTCATCCCAACGAGCCAGCAGCGAACCGCCGTGTTGTCTCCCAGGCAACGGCTGGGCCCCTGTGACCTGATATGGTCTCTGCCGTAGTTCGGTTTCGTGCTTTCTGTTTGGACAACTGTCACAATAAATGTCTTTAACTCCGACAATGTTTGTTCTGGAATCCACCCCCACCACACCTGGGTGTCCAGGTCAAGGCTGAACAGTACTAGCGTATTCCTCTCTAAGACTGTCTGTTGTCTTTATTGTAAATTTACACCATGCCTTGTTGTCATAGTCTTCCCTGACATATAATGATGAAATTACGCTCTCCCGTTAGGCCTTGTGGTTGTTGGAAAGTATATAAAATGTGTTTTACGTGCAGCAACAGATATATGCAAATTCAAGATTAAGCAGGACACCTCATCAAGACATTGTAGGATCAATGTTTGATGAGTTATAATTATAATGTTTTGCCTGTCTAGCTGGCGCACCGTCACAGAGGCTCACGGAAGACAAACGGCGCGCAGCGTTCTATCGAGAGGCGGCAGGGCTGGAGGGGAAGCTGCGCCGCCTGCTGGGAAACATCGAGCGCAAATTCGGCGATCAGGTCCACTACAAGGTCAGCCGCTGCGTCACCCATTCAGTCACGGCCGTTCGCTCATTTGGTCGGTGAAAACGCGACCGCTTGACGGTAGCGCGTGTGGTGATGCGGAGTCGTGACGGGAGCGTGGCCCGTTCGCCCCCAGGGGTGGTCGTACGTGGAGAGGATGCGGCGCGACCGTGTGGAGATGCTCTACGCCATACAGCAAGAGCGACGTGCGGGCGGGACGCTCGCCTCGCCTCAACACGCCCGGCCTCAACGTGCCCGGCCGGAACACGTCCATCAAGAACGTGCGGAAGCGGAGACGTGCGGCTCGCTTGGCCTCTCACAGAACACCCCACCACAACACGCAGACGCGCAGCCACAACACGCAGACGCGCAGCCACAACACGCAGACGCGCAGCCACAACACGCAGACGCGCAACCACAACACGCAGACGCGCAGCCACAACACGCAGACGCGCAGCCACAACACGCAGACGCGCCACAACACGCAGACGCGCAGCCACAACACGCAGACGCGCAGCCACAACACGCAGACGCGCAGCCACAACACGCAGACGCGCAGCCACAACACGCAGACGCGCAGCCACAACACGCAGACGCGCAGCCACAACACGCAGACGCGCAGCCACAACACGCAGACGCGCAGCCACAACACGCAGACGCGCAGCCACAACACGCAGACGCGCAGCCACAACACGCAGACGCGCAGCCACAACACGCAGACGCGCAGCCACAACACGCAGACGCGCAGCCACAACACGCAGACGCGCAGCCACAACACGCTGACGCGTGACAGCAACATGGGTCATTTCAAGCAAACCATCGTGCCACAGCAAATGCTGCCCTGGTCACAACGCAAACAGGCATTGCCACAACGAGGGCAGCCGCAACATCGGCACAGACGAAACAACAACACGCGCGCACTGCACGGCAACACGGCACACAACTACAGGACACAAAAATACGATAAAACTAGCGTACCCAGGAAATACGCACCACATGAACACACGTTTGCGTGTTAACACCCGTGCGCATGTGACAGCACGTGCTCTCACACATTCACAACTTTGCACAGGCCATGCTATAAAAATGTGTTCACCACTGTTTTAATGTATAGATCAACTCCAATAAATGTACAAATTCCCACAATTAATTCATGCTGCAGTTTTAAATTAATCGACGACCAACACAAACAAGTCGCCGTGGACAACACGATTGTTAATAAATACCAGAGCAGTCCAGTCCATTATGATCCACCACCTTTTCACGTCGACCAATGAACAGATGTACACAAACTGCGTATTACCCACTTCGCTCGTCAATTTACACCTGCACGTCATACATGTGATGGAGTATAATTAGCCAGCGCAGAGATCTGGGAAGCAGATATGAATCCTGGGCAGAGGGAGATAGGGACAGTCAATCGGTGCCTGTATCAAGGCTCTCTCTGCACTACAGCCCCTGTGCCCGCAAGGAATTGCTTATCCAATGAATGAGAGTGCTGCAGGCACCGACACCGACGCATACAAATTAGAATCATTGGCCAAATTGGAAATCTGGGAATGTGGCGGGCAATGAGGTACGGAGCTGCAAACCGAGCAACCCTCGAGGGTGGGACAAGCTGCTCGGTGGGCGAGCGGTGCCGCGTGAGCGGTGCCGGGTGGAGGTGACGGTGACCCCTGCGGCGAAGGGTGCAGACAGGCGGCCACGACAGCCTCTCGGCTTGAGGCCGATCACCAAGGCCTCACGATGTCCTCCTGCGAGAGTTACCAAAATGCTGGGACGCGGCACTACTATACGGGACGCTCATCAGGCACGTTTGGCCTCCTCTATGTAAATTACTCGGGTGGCAGGTGTGAGGGGCAAGTGTGGCCAACCTATGAGTGCACGGACCAGGGTTGGAGTCCCAGTTAAAGCATCCCAAATATTAATACTTGGTCCCAATAATGGTCTCGAATAATTAAGAACTAGAGATAAGAAAAAAACATAACATCTGCAGTGGCAATATCTTAAAAGCAGCCATTAACAACACAGCCACTGAACACACCTTGAAATGTGAAGCATAATGATTGCCACACCTTGGCATCAGCATGCGCATGGTGTGGGTTCACAAGCATCACGTGCAAGGCTCGTTACCCCTGACACGAGACACTGCGGTGACGTCATTCATGACCGTTCCCTCCTACCCACCGTCCCTCGGGTCACGACCCCAAGGTTGGTCACCACATCAAAACAGTAACTGGGGTCGTATTTTATGAGGATGAGTTGTCGACAATGCGTGCCTACACAGGAGGCACACAAGGAGAGTTCTGGGTCCCACCGTGTGCCAGGGCAGATCCCACTGCAAGGGCGAGAGGGCCCCTGCTCATCTGCGTGTCCCCGAGCGAGCGGTGGTGCTGCTGCTGCCAGACCTCGCGCTGGCGCTCGTCTGTGTGGCCTTGGTCACCTCCTCCAGGAAACTGCACACATGTTCACAGATGCAGTGTCACACTCACCAGCTGGCAGAACATGATCATCTTCCTTTAAACAGTAAAGAGCCCTCCGAGTTTCATTATTGCCTGGATTTCCTAACTTACGATACAATTTTGATTTGTGTGTCTAATAAATGTGGATATTAAGGTGCCTGGGTCTTTAACGCCCCCTGCAGAGCACAATATGCACTTTGGTTGCGAGCAACCACTGAATATAACCACTGTGGGAATCGATCATCGCCTCGATGAAAAGTGCTCAGTGCAACTACGTTCAAATGTTGCCTATTATCGATCCATGCGAGGCCAGTTAAGGAAAGGCAGAGATCTCTGTAAACTCCATGACAGGGACCCAAGGTTATGACATCATCGTTCCGTAGCGATGGCGCCACGAGCACCACGTACCTGCGTGTGTTATGGATGTTGGTCCCTCCGAGGATGACGCGCACGCCTGGGTTCGTACGGTTCAGGTTGTAGACGGTCAGCGCCTCCTCGTACGTCGCCCCGCCAACCATGAACACGATGACGTCCTGCGGCCTGCGCACACCCAGCAGCGGCACGCGGCTCTCACCAAAATCTTTCCACACACTCGCGCATCACCAAAACGCCGGCGTGGATTGTGTCTTCCACTCAAATCTCCATCCCTGTGCTGCTCGGACGAGGTAGTGGCACTGCCAATCAGTTGGAACCGCGGCGAGTCCTGCCTGCCCGTTGTTGCGCAAGGGAAATATTCGTTTTTTCCACACGAGGGCGTCCTTTGAGCGTCGAGCGATCATTTCACAGCCCTCGAGCTGTACCTGTCGCGCAGGCTGCTGGAGCCCAGGTAGGGGTGGCTGGCCTCCTTGAGACGGCCCTTGAGCAGCTGGTCCAGGGTGTCAGCCAGCAGGGGCTGGTGTTGTGTGTACACGTTCTGGATGCCCTGAAAAGCAGAGAACCGCGTTGGCGCGTTAACGGCCCTGCAACAAGACAAGTGGCGGCGTCGTGACGGCAGACGGCACACTGCAAAATATGACAAAAACTACCTTGAGGCCTTTGAAGAACTGCTTGGTGATGGACATGGGGTCTTGGCTTCCAAACAGGTCACTCCCACGTACGCGTAACCCCCCGTACTCCAGAACGGAGTTGACCAGCTGTTAGGAAGAACACAACGCCTGAGTGAGGACCGAGGCGTTGACGCCGGCGTGGAAGCAACGGGAACCGGGGACGGGGACGGTGACGGCGGTGACAGCAGTGACGGCAAGGTACCTGGCGGTACTGCGAGGAGACCTGGCGGCGCGAGAGGTCCTCGAGCAGTCCGGACAGGTTGTTGCTGCTGTGGCGCTCGTAGCGCAGAGCGTAGAGCATCACGAGCCGTGCCGCGTCCAGCTCGCTCACCTTGGGCTGCTGCAGCATGCGCCGCAGGCTCTGTGATCATCACGCAAGTAACCAACGCTGTCAACTGGAAGTAAGTGGACTTGAGCAGGACGTGTCACTAGAAGGGACGGTGACCAGTGGTTGAGACTAACGAAGGATAGTCAGCCGAGGGAAGGAACGTACCCGAGAGGACATCTAACATGGAGACAGAGCAAATTAAATACGCCGTGAGCAGATGCTAGTGGACTGTTACAGGACCCTAAGAGATGGCGAAAGCTTGAGGAGGCCTTCACCCCGCAATGGTTTGATCGTGGGTGATGATAAATTGCCATGCGCATGGCCAACAACACCCATTCCTCTACGTGCGCATGCCCACACGTGCACATCCACGTGCGCGCACTCATGTCAGTGTGTGCGTGTGCGCATCCCACCTGCAGTGCGCTAGAGTGGTCGCTCTGGCAGGCCAGCTCCTGCTCGAGCTCAGAAACGCTGAGAAGGGAGCGAGAGGCCACGAGCCGCGACAGCTCCCCCACCACCGTCACGTGCTTTGACACGGTGCCCGACATCTTCTTGAACTGGGGATAGTTCTCCACAAATGCCTTCGCACGCACACACGCACAGGGGTGGCCGGGTCAAGGGGAAACGAACAAGGGAATGCGCACGTCTCAGTGTTGCGATTATCTAAGGCTTATGAGTGCGATGGATGAATGGAATCATCGGCGCTCACCTTCATATCAGCGATGGACTCCACCTTCTGCGAGCTTTTAGACTTTTTCTGAAATTCTTCCATTAGGTTCTTAATGTTCGTGCCAATCTCACCAAAGTTCAGGTACATATTCTGCAAGATTCATAACACATTCGCCACACATTATAAAGCTTGAAGATAATAACCATCTGAATAACATTCACTGAACTTTATGAGGAAAAAAAAAAGTGTCTCCATGCTCAGACAGCAATGAGGCGGTGCACTTATGGTCGCATTGGCAGACTTAAGCTAGCGGTGGAAATTCCTCATTCCCATAGCTGAAGCCAGTCTCTCCATAGGAGGACCACTGTTAAAACGTGAGCGGGCGTACAGGGCTAAGGCGAGCGGGCCGCAGGGAAGGGCGGCACCTACGCTGGCGTAGAAGTCGTCGTGCTCGGAGGAGAGCACAACCTCCTTGAGGTCGCGACCCACACCCGGCACGCTCGATAGGTCGATGCGGTTGTTGTTGATGCCGAGGAGTTCGTGCACCATGGCCTGGTAGGTCCACTGCACACGCAGCACCACACACAGAAACGCGATTCCACCACGTGCATATCCAACGCGTTGTCATAAATTGTATCTTGACGGCGGCCGCAAACTCGATGGCACAGGTTCACCACCAATACTGGGCAGATGATGATCCTTAAACCATGAGTCTGATATACAGTGCCTTAAGAGGCAAGGTTGGTGGATCGTGCTGAGACCACAATGTTAGCCTGTAAGAATGTTTTCTGCTGTAAGGCACCATGATCAGTGAATGTGTTTGATATTTGTTGAAATGAATGTTGCACGGCTATGATGTGGTCTGCTAATCCCTCATATGGGTGGGGTTTCTCCATGCTGCCCATGTTTATATATGTATATATGCATCCACCGTGGAGCTGGAGCAATACAATCAGATCATGTGCAAGTACGAGATGGATTGATACATCGCAGGACCTTAACAGGTGGCGGCTTGGGAAATCCTTTATCTAGCACCGGATTGATGACAGCGGATGGCATGTTATCTGACATTGGCCGTGGCTGTGCAGGGCTGTGCTCGGTGTGATTGGTTTGGTTGGACCAGGGGTGTGCTGGCTAAGCCACCGAGTGCCCCGTTGGTACCATGTGTCCTGTAGCTTCTGAAAGGACGAAGCCACAGGGCAATGGGCGCTACCTGGTTGAGCAGCGGCGTGATGGCGTCGTCGTTGCGATCGAGCACAAGCAGCAGCGGGGGGACGTCTGTCTTGCGGAAATCGAACAGCGCCGCGTCCTTAGAAATCATTTGCTTGAAACGTCGTTGGGGAAAAAAATGTCGGGGCAAATAAGTTAGGATGATAAAATGACAGCTCACACTTGTTGAACTTTTGGATGTAAATTTTAAAAAATGTGGAATATCCCCAATAAGCCATAACGAATGTTGTGTTTATCACTAGGACAGAGCTAACTACAAGTCTAGGCTTGAATCTAACCTTTAAGCCAAGCAAAAAAACCAAACCCTGCCAAATATTTACCAGGTCTTAATCCTAGCATTCACCATACATGAGCTCTATCCTAACTCTTGCTCTACTCTAAGACCAGCGATATCGTAACTCTAGTCCTATCCTAACTTTATTCAAGCCCAGATCATAACCACGGGGATGACTTTACATATTCTCTGCTATGGTTATGGTTATGGCTTGGGATAAATACAAAGCTCTTACCATAACCCAAGTGCTACCCTATGCATAATTATATTCATAACTCGAGCATTAACTTAAACTTAGCCCCATTAAGCGACACAGGCATTAGTGGCTGGATCACCAAACATGTCCCATGTGGGCGTGGACTGGGCCACGCGGGACTGGCGGGAGTCGGGGAAGCAGGCACCTTGACACACTCGGCGAGGCGGCGTGCCAGCTCCGACGAGTGCTGGTACCGAATCACCGGGCACTTCTTGAGTGACAGCAGCACGGCTGTGAGTCCGAGGGTGGCTCGTGTCAGCAGCACCGGATCCCAGCTGCGACCCTGCCAGGGGCGGATGCCACCATAGTCTTGTCACGATGGCTGGTGTCTTAATCATCATTATCTTCTTTATTATTTATATCACTAAACCTCCCATGCAGTATATATCGAGGCACCAGACCAAAGGGTTATTTGCGATGACTCAGTTAGAAAGTGACTGCAGACAAAATACATTGTTCAAAAACAACACAATATAACAGTATACAAAACCAACCAGAATAAACCAAATTGAAAGTTATATTGTGCTCAAAATTATTCTATTTTGGTCCTCTTCATACCAGTATACACTATATGAAAACATGTATTGACTTTAGTCTTAAATTTATTAATTGTAGGCACGTTAATAATATTTCTGGGTCCATTGTTCTACAACTTACGTGAGGTCTCATAAGAAAAAAAAGGCAGGTAAATCCATCAGGGTCACTAGTCGTAACGAAAGGACGTCTGTGAGTGCGCAAACCTGTGAGCAGCCGGTGAGGTTCAAGGAGAATATGTGGGGACTGATGGCAATATAGTCAGCATAGAACTCCTGCAGAGACATAGAGAGAATCCACGTGGTCAGGGCTGGCAAAGGAGATGAATACCACTCCACGCCCATTTGCACACGGAGCTGCTTTGACATGGTTTTGTGCAATAATGCAGGTGCAAGCTTGCAGGGTCTAGCAAGTGAAAGGGGCGGTGCAGTGAGGTGGCATCAGTGGCATCGGCAACAATGACCTCTTGACCCTGAAACACAGTAGTGTGGGTGCGTGTGCGTGCGCTAGTCACCTTCAGCTCCCGCACGACCTCATGCTCATCTGCCTCGGCCAGCGTCTTCACGTCGCTCTTGCTCACCACATTGCTGAAGTCTGCCGGGATGAACCGCACCACAGACTCAACCCTCAGTGCGTAAAACTCGAGTCGCTCCCATTACCACCGGACAATCGCTCGCAACAGTCACAATCAGAACCGGTATACTACCATGACCAGTCTCCCTCGACAGGAATTTCCAGTTAGAGGGAAATGTGCCACTTGTCTCAACGCCTCCAGTGGATGGCTGCCTCCAGCTGAAATCTCAATGGGAGTCTACTTAACTCCCGCTGTGTCACAAGAGCCACTCAAACATATCTTGTTAACAAGTGGCTTAAAATCAACACTCCAACTTGTGACGTCATGTAGGTTTCATGCATGGGCTTGACAAAAAGCAATTCCTATCAATATTTTACAACAACAAAAGTTTTTACACTATGGGGACCTCATTTGCCAGTAAAAATATGATAATTGGTTCTTTACCCTTCTATCTGGCAACAAAACTGACACCTTTTTGCAAGGAGTCATGTTTGCATAGACCGCAATACCTGCAGTCATAATACAAACAAAAGAACATAACTCTGATAATGTGCACTGTCCTTGAAGTTGATTGGTCCACACCCGAGACAGCTTTCCTTCGAGCCTAGTCTCATATGGGTTGGACCAGATGACGCCAAAAGGCGCACAACTCAAGGACAATGCACCATCAGAGTATGAGAGCTCGGGGCAAGCATCTACACTATGGGGACCTCATTTGCCAGTAAAAATATGATAATTGGTTCTTTACCCTTCTATCTGGCAACAAAACTGACACCTTTTTGCAAGGAGTCATGTTTGCATAGACCGCAATACCTGCAGTCATAATACAAACAAAAGAACATAACTCTGATAATGTGCACTGTCCTTGAAGTTGATTGGTCCACACCCGAGACAGCTTTCCTTCGAGCCTAGTCTCATATGGGTTGGACCAGATGACGCCAAAAGGCGCACAACTCAAGGACAATGCACCATCAGAGTATGAGAGCTCGGGGCAAGCATCTACACTATGGGGACCTCATTTGCCAGTAAAAATATGATAATTGGTTCTTTACCCTTCTATCTGGCAACAAAACTGACACCTTTTTGCAAGGAGTCATGTTTGCATAGACCGCAATACCTGCAGTCATAATACAAACAAAAGAACATAACTCTGATAATGTGCACTGTCCTTGAAGTTGATTGGTCCACACCCGAGACAGCTTTCCTTCGAGCCTAGTCTCATATGGGTTGGACCAGATGACGCCAAAAGGCGCACAACTCAAGGACAATGCACCATCAGAGTATGAGAGCTCGGGGCAAGCATCTACACTATGGGGACCTCATTTGCCAGTAAAAATATGATAATTGGTTCTTTACCCTTCTATCTGGCAACAAAACTGACACCTTTTTGCAAGGAGTCATGTTTGCATAGACCGCAATACCTGCAGTCATAATACAAACAAAAGAACATAACTCTGATAATGTGCACTGTCCTTGAAGTTGATTGGTCCACACCCGAGACAGCTTTCCTTCGAGCCTAGTCTCATATGGGTTGGACCAGATGACGCCAAAAGGCGCACAACTCAAGGACAATGCACCATCAGAGTATGAGAGCTCGGGGCAAGCATCTACACTATGGGGACCTCATTTGCCAGTAAAAATATGATAATTGGTTCTTTACCCTTCTATCTGGCAACAAAACTGACACCTTTTTGCAAGGAGTCATGTTTGCATAGACCGCAATACCTGCAGTCATAATACAAACAAAAGAACATAACTCTGATAATGTGCACTGTCCTTGAAGTTGATTGGTCCACACCCCATTGTCCTTGAGTTGTGCGCCTTTTGGCGTCATCTGGTCCAACCCATATGAGACTAGGCTCGAAGGAAAGCTGTCTCGGGTGTGGACCAATCAACTTCAAGGACAGTGCACATTATCAGAGTTATGTTCTTTTGTTTGTATTATGACTGCAGGTATTGCGGTCTATGCAAACATGACTCCTTGCAAAAAGGTGTCAGTTTTGTTGCCAGATAGAAGGGTAAAGAACCAATTATCATATTTTTACTGGCAAATGAGGTCCCCATAGTGTAGATGCTTGCCCCGAGCTCTCATACTCTGATGGTGCATTGTCCTTGAGTTGTGCGCCTTTTGGCGTCATCTGGTCCAACCCATATGAGACTAGGCTCGAAGGAAAGCTGTCTCGGGTGTGGACCAATCAACTTCAAGGACAGTGCACATTATCAGAGTTATGTTCTTTTGTTTGTATTATGACTGCAGGTATTGCGGTCTATGCAAACATGACTCCTTGCAAAAAGGTGTCAGTTTTGTTGCCAGATAGAAGGGTAAAGAACCAATTAACAAAAGTTTTGGTTAGTGTTAGTTTAAAAACCCTATATTTCCAGCTGGTTCATTCCACAGCTGAAATTTGGAGGGAAATCAGTTTGTATATTACGAGTAAAAAAATCTATTCCAGCCATTTTCAATTCATCAGTGGATGTAGGCTTTCCCATACTATCTCAGTTATTCTTTAGGCATATTTCACAATGTTGGTTAGTGCAGGGTGGAAAAGATGAGGGGAGGGTGGGACTGGTTATGGTACCGCTTGCCAATGGTGTTAGCCACGACCGAGTCTGGAGCACATCGCACGAACCGCCGCACTTACAGATGAAGTATAATCCATACTTGGGCCGTCTTAGTTCTTGCACCAACAGCTCGATGCTTTCCTGTCAAAAAGCAACACATTGACATCATCAGCTATGCAGTTGACAACACTGCAACACAAAATACAAGCACCACAGTGTATCCCTTTGCTATTTGTTGAAGGGAGCTTCACCTATCAGGAAGCGGGCACTCACCTTGACGGGCCGGATGAAACAGACGGCCTTCAGATGCTTCATGGGCTCGCGGTTGACAGAGTCCACCCTCTCGAAGAGGTACACTTCCTTCTGGAGGATTTCCGACTGGGAGTAGACCATGCTGACAATGCTGGTCTGGAGGAAAACGCAGACGCGTGTTAGACAAAGATACACACACCTAGGACTACATTTAGAGATCGCGCGAGGGTTCATGTCTGGCTGGTGTGCTTTGCTGAGCAGTGACAAGGGCTGTAACAATCGCGTTATGGTTTCGTTCAGTTAGGATTAGATCTAAGTTTTGGTTAGCGTTAGTTTCAAGCAGGCTAGACAGAGTAGACATTACTCGCCCTAACCCGAAGAATAACGCTATCACTCTACCACCACCCCGACATATTTCCGTAACCATAACACGAGACCTAAACAGACACAGTCCAGAAGTCGGAGTGACACGCAACCTGCCTCAACAATCCCCCACGGACTCGGTCACACATTCAAGCACGGAACCAACCACGGGGCCATCCTCACCCCGCGCCCCTCACTCCCAAGCACGCCCACCCCGCCCGGCCGCTAGGAAAAGCGTAAGGCTCCGCGCGGGCCTAGGCGACAGCAGGCCGGCAAAGATGCCGTCGGGGTTGGACACCGGAGCGGGGCTCACGCACCGTGTCCTTGTCCATGAGCAGGACCTTCATGCCGGGCCCCGTCTCGCCGATCATCTTGCACACATACTGCTTCACGGCCGACACCACGTCCATGATGGTGGCGGCAGCAGCAGTGACAGCAACAGCAGCAACAAATCGATCCACCACGAACGACGATTCCCAGAAACGATTGCGGCGAATCGAATCGATTCTTCCGCTCCAGGCCGGGGTCTATCCACTGCGAGACGAGGCCACCCGGAGCCGGCGCGAGTTTCTTGACTCTTAACGAGTCCCGAACACCTCCAAAACCACGGTGCTATGCTTCTCATCAGGACTCAAGCAGGAAGTTATTTCCCCCCAATTATATTCCTTAAATAATCATCAAATAGAGCAAGTCAAGATCTATTAGTGTCTTGGGGTCATCTTTGATTCCAAATTTAATTTTCAAGATCACTGATTATATTAGTAAAAAGACAAAATAAAAAATTGGTTTTCTGTATCGACACAAGCACTGCTTCTCCCCTATGTTCCGCTTGGAATTGATAAAAGCTACCATACTCCTCTACTTGATTACTGTGACATCGTATACAAATCATCCCCAAGTACTCTACTGAAGAAGCTTGACTCAATGTATCACTTGGCCTTAAGATTTGTATTGAACGGCCCATATAAGACCCTCCACTGCGATCTCTACATTGGGTCAAACTTAACTTCTCTTAATGATCGACGGCTTGTGCGTCACAATCTTATTTATTCACGATGTACTTACAAAAAAATCAGACTACCTGCTGGATCTCCTCACTGTTTCGAAGAACAAATGTGACCTAAGGTCTTCGCTCATTTACCAGCTTCACATTCCTTATTTGCTGTACAAATACTGGGGGACGGGCCTTTGCTATTGATGCCCCCAGGGTCTGGAATGCTATCGCCAGTAAACTGCAACTTGGATCACTACCTGTGAGATCTTCACTCAAAACTGCTCTAGAGGAGTTGTACACCCCTAGCTGCCACTGCAATTCAGTGGCCTGAAATCAAATGTATCGTTCCGGATGACCGCTGCAAAGTAGGATCTTGTGTTTTGATTATAGTGTGCTGATCTTAAAGGTGTATTGAAATGTTTTTATACCGCTACTGATGCTCCTGCTGTTATGGAGTGACTCATGCAGCCAGCTATGGCTGCAAAGTTTGGTCGTACATGTTATGTATATCGTTTATTGTTAAATTTGAATCACAGTTCCTATGATCACTGCTAAATAGCTTTATTTTGGTGATTTTTAAAACGTTTTGGTTTGGCCATGTTTGTTTGTTGTAGTATAGAGTTAGCCTGATAACTTTAATCTAAATTGTCTTATGGTTGTTATTGTTTGATTTGCCTTCCACTGGGATTTTTGCACACAACGTTGATATACGGTGCTTTTTCTTGAAGACTTTGCTGTTTTTTCCTGGATTTTTCTGTTGCGTGTAGTCACTTTAAGATGTTTCTTGTTCATGTTTTTGTTTGTTGCGGTTGCACCCGAGTCAAGAGCCGCATGGCTCACACGGTTATAACAAATAAATGACATGAAACTGAAATTAAATGAAACTGAAACTTTGACCGTGCTTCGATCGCGCTGGTGAACGCGGGGAGTAGATACGTGGGGGCATAGAGACGTACGGTACAACAATGAGTGTGCCTGCACTGCCCCCATCCACGCAGCAGCAGCGGCCCCAACAGGGCTACCACTTTAACGTCACAACGGGTTAACTCGACCCCACCCGGGTCACTACGTAGCCGCGTCAGGACGGTCACTTGTCCCTGACCCACGGAGCCTCAAAGTCAGAGGTCGCAACCGGGTACCCGATACCCGTACCCTACCCGATACCTGGCTACCCGTACCCGGCCAGGTACGGGTACCCGCTTGCGACCATGGTGCGGCCGGGTACGGGTAAGGAATCAAAACCCGTTTGCGACCTCTGCTCAAAGTACAGTCTCAGAGCGACGAGCGGAGAGACAGATCACGGGGAGGTCACTCCTCGAGACGGCCGCCATCGCTCCGGCCCCATCCTCTCGAGCGTGGCCACGCCCCCTTCTCGATCTCTCCCGAAGGAACCGGGGCCAGCGCCACGTGTCCCTTAAGCCTCCTTTTCGGGCCCCCTTGCTACCCCGTGCCGTTCACGTACCTTCTCTCCCCTTCTACGGAACCATGCCATCTAGGGCCCGCTTCCCTGCCATAGGGGCCGTCCATAAATGACGTCACGCGATTTTGGACGATTTTTGACCCCCCCCCCCCCATCATTACATGGCGTCACAAAAAGTCAGACAACCCTCAAATATGACGTCACAAAGCTCTGCCATGCTTCAAATCGCTTTAAACTATTGTCATTGTAGTGCGTATTTAATGTGCCGCTGCACTCTGATGTTGTGGGAGAAAACATTTATTAAAAAGTCTATTTAATTAAGTAGAACGTGTTGTCTATATTTATTTAAAGTTGCGCATTTTGATGTGGCGTCACATTTCTCAACCCCCCCCCCCCCTCGTCACACATCGTCACAAATGTCTGACGTCCCCCCCCTCCCCCTAGGTGCGTAACGCCATTTATGGACGGCCCCATACCTCCGCCGGTGCCAGAGAGAAATACGAGACCTAAGCAGTTACCTGCTCGTGAACCTAGATGGCGCACACGCCATGAGACTCCATTTACATCTCTACATATGCGAGCACGTGGAGGGCCGTACGACTGAGATCACCACGGTTGATACCTAGGAATGTACCTCTTATTTCTTAATTCGTTAAACTATCTGTTGGACCTACTCCTAAAATACTTTCTTTCCGTAGAACGTTGGCAAACGTGTGGCTTTGGTCACGCTCTCGAAAGGACGGGGTCACGCGCTGAACAGGACGATCCTACCCAGGCAGGGGCCGTGAGAATTCTTTCCAGCGATGTTTTGGCACCGAGGGCTCGCATCGGAGTCCCAGAACGGCACGGGATTCCGACGAGCTTAACCGCGTCTCACAACGAAACGGATGGCTGGGCGCGTGGCGACCTCGCCGTGAAATCTCTGACCAACGTTCGCATGCGAGGATGTGCATGGTTTATTTGGTTTGTATTCCGTTATTTTATTCTATTTCGCATGGAGACAGCAATATGTTCATGAGCTCAATGCCTGCTGGCCACGAGAAGGCTTCAGGAGGGAGTTGGTGTAGATTGCGTTAATATAAATGCGTCGTTAAACTCGCCACCACCCGACACAGCCAAATAGGAAGGTTTGTCACGTAAACAGAACGTGACAATTGGTTACTAGTACAGCACACCGGTGTGTTGGGAATTAAACCCACAACATGTTCAAGAATTGTAAATGTTATGGGTTTATTCTCCAACACACCGTAGTACTACACTATTAAATAATTGGCATGCTGTGTTTACGTGACAAACCTTACTGATTGGGTGTGTCAGGTGGTGGCAGGTTTAATTGCACATTTATACGCGTTATAACCCAAAACACTTCTTATGATAACATTGGTCGCGAAGGCCAACGTGTTAAACGGAGTTTGTGTAGTTTTGCTGTTCCTCGTCCTCCGCAGACTCCAGTGGATGCGGCCCATGGTGTGGGTTGCATGCCCACACTCGCACTTCTGGGGTTTGAATCTCGTGTTGTTGTTTTTCATCTTCTGACGGTGATCATGACATTTATCAGCGAGTTGACCAAATCAGCCGGGTGCCTTCTTTGATCAGAGCGCTTGACTAAAAATTGGCTTAGCCTTATCATCCCATCCGAGTTTATAGAATTGGTACCACTTAAAAGGAAGCCATTAGTAATCCTATTAGTAAACTGCCCCCTGCCATAGGAATGTGGAATATTCTAGCACTGGCATGGCTACATTTCCTTCCCCAGTGCCGATGTTTATACAACCCACCTGGTAGTCATTTATGGCTGAGTATACCTATAAGAGAAAATATCCCCTATATAGCCTTGAAAAGACTGTTTGGGAAAATGGTGTTAGCGAGCACCTATTATGGTATCCACACACACACACCCGCAAACACCCACCACACGCCCGCCACCCGCGCATACACTTCACCATCCCTATGCTGCCCTTTTATTAATTCCGCGCGTCGATGGGAGTATACTTAGCCCCACGGCAGCGCGTCCAGGAACTAAGTTTAGAGACGACACGCGGGCAGTCACCTGCACCAGACGCATCACTCGGACTCAACATCAATCAAAGGTAAACAAGCTTGCAAGCCAGGCCACCGAGGGAGCCTCGTCTATTCCGTCATGCAAAGTGTGGACAATCGACAAGAGTATCTATACCTCGGACATTTATTGAAGGTGGGTCGGGGATTAAAATGATCAAAGAAAAGAGAGCAGTTTTTGAAAAATAAAATACCTAAACATGTGACTAAGAAAAGGAAGAAAGATTGTAAAAATCGTGCATAACGTGTTACGGATTAAAAAAAGAAGACATGGGGATTGAAAAATAAATTAAGCAAAAGCTGAAAAGTGTGCAAAGAAGCACGGAGAGATGCAGCCTTGAAATGACACTGGGAGACAGGCAGAGAGCGACAGGCAAAGGGATACACGGATCGGAGAACGCGAGCAAGTTGGACACGAGAAGGAGGAGCCGGGGCCGGTGGTTACGGCAGATTGGTGCGAGGGCCTCGTACTGCCACTGATGTTAGTCGTCTTCCAGGAATTGAACTCGGGTCATGAAGGTTCATATTCAACTGTGAAAACCATGACTGTAGATGTCTATGTTAAAATAGATGGGCAGATCACCACCAGCAAGGTCTTATCGCGTGATCTTGCCTGGGTGATGAAATACGATATGGAAATGTACAAAAATATTCGCTGCCTGGTCAGGCCCCCACATTACCACGTGGTTACGGGGGCTCGTCTGCAGCGGAGAACACCGCTGGAGCTGCGCCACCGCTCCCCCTCCCCATGTCGCCGACGCGCCCCGCCCCCTCAATTCCCGCGTCTCCCACCCCATTCCCTCCCTCCCACTCTTTGTCCGTACGCCAATTCCCCCCCCCGTCCATCCCCGTGTCTCTCACCCCGTGCCTCGTACCCATGGCTCGCACCCCCCCCCCCCAACCGCCCTCCCGCCCCCCTAGCCTCGACCAAAGGGCGCTCAGGGAGAGGTCCCGCGACCCCGGGAGCGGCGCCAGGACCATGCGCATCCATCGGCGCGCGCCACTCCACCTCGGACCGACGCCGCGAGAGATCAAGACATGTGCTCTCCCCGGCAGCTCCACGCTCCGACGCGCCTGGCGGCCCGGATCAAGGCATCGAACCCGATCGTGAGGGAGGCTCTGGCTGAGTTCCTCGGCACGTTCGTGCTCATCGTGAGTATTGCAGAAGCGCCGCGCTCTCGGGGAGTGGAGGCGGCGGGTCGATCATTAACGCAGCCGCCGCGCCTCCGACCCTCGTCACCGGCGTTGCCCCCCGATTGGCGTGGCGCGCGGGGACTGCCCCGCTCCGACCACAGTGCACAAATGCCGTTCGTTATTTATTTGGAAAAGCGGCGATATCACGGACTATTTATTATACAGCTTTATCATTGGCCCGTGATACAGTTGGCAACCACATTCTATCTTCGGGACTGTCAGCACTGAGCAACGTGGCTTTTAGAGCGAGTGGGGGGTGGGTTTGCGGTGTGGAAGATAGTTCCGGAATTATAGCTGAGCAGTTGTGGTGAAAATGTTCAGCGATTCTATCTCGTCGGAATCAAAGGGACTTCTCTGAAAACACATTACCCTCGTAGTTTGATGATCACTCCAGGAATTGCTACACCGAGACTCTCATCTTCTCATACCAGCTCACACCTTATCGTTACCATGCCCGTCATAAGTTGCTTCTCTTCATCTCATTATTATTTTTCCAAGCACACGAATTGCAAGTCCAGTGTAATCTCCGTCGTGTTATCTCCGTTTCATGTTCGTGTCTGATCTGCTGTTCAGTTTAATCCTCTTCTCGTCTTGCTGCCCACGACGAGAGGGCTTTGGCAGAGAGACTTCGTGTCGCTGTTCCTCCTCCTCCTCTGTTGAAGGAGCGCAGACGACCACAGCGGGTTCACTGCGCGGTCCAGAGTTTGGGTCGCATAGACAGAATCGCACTCCTGTGGCTTTGATTTCCCATTTACGAAGGAGATGTGTGCATTGTCCTCTTGGTGTTCTCATGCGGTTGATGGTTCCACCGGTGTCTTCGATAAAGAGAAATGTCAAAGCCCAGGGATGGTGCGGTGATATTTGGGTCCCAAATGCGGCGTTTATTCTTTATCATTGAGCACTGCGCGGATTAAGAGAGGGTGCAGTAAACCTGCACACGTGTCAGTGTTGACATAATTAATACTTGTGTAAATGTGTGCGTTTGAGTATCTGCGGCAATGTGCATCTGTATTTGTCAGTGTGTGTCTTTGTATTTGTCATTGTATGTGTGAATATGTGTATGAATGTGTGTCTGTGTGTTTACCAGTATGTATGTTTGTGAAAGTACGTCTGTGTGTTTGTCGATGTGTATCTGTGTGTGAATCGGTGGCTGCTCGCCAACGTGTCTATCTGTGCGTTGGTCTATGAACCCGGTGACCCGAGTTCCATTCCCGCTTAACCAACATAAGTGACGAATATCTGAACCGGTCTTGGGCCTCCCCTAGGTCGACTCAGCTTTCTATTGAGTACCTGGTGCGGTGTGTAAACATGGGCATTGGCCAGCCACTTCTTCATGTGCCATACTCACAACACTTTTCCAAACAGTCTGTCAAGGGCTACACGGGGATCTTTGTCTTTTTGTTGGCCACAGTATTTCACAAACTGCACTATGATACCAGTTCACTGGGGTTCAATTTCACGCAACGGATTGCATCAGTGGCAAGCAATATCGGAAACCGGTCTTGGGACCCAATCTCGACTCGGCCTTAAATGATGTACGTTGATCTTCTTTCACAACGTGCGTAGTCAACCGCGCTAATCGGAGATGCAGGGGAAGGACAACAAACTAAACACGAATAGCAATTTGAAAGAAATTAGTTTTCAATGTAGATGATTTAAAAGTGCATAGCTCCAGTGAAATCCTGGTGCATTAAACAAATCCTCCACTCCCCGCTTGCACTCGAATCTCCTGGCCGGACCACCATTCAACACATCACAGATAAACATCACAGGCGCTGTGACCTGCTATCACACACACGCCACGCGCATGAAAACAACAACCATTCGCCACGAATTGGCGGCAACGTCACCACAGCGCGTGTGCCAGGCTAGGTGCACTTTGAGGTCACGTGAAAGTGTCGAGGGCTCGTTGGCAGGAGGTCACACGGCCAGACCCAGGTGCCACGGGTTGACTGAGTAGGAGCGGCAAATGCACCACCTGCGGAGCTGCCTCCTGTACCAACGTGCTGCGCTTTAATCACCCGGCATGACAACAAAGACACACGCACACGCCAAATCTTCTTCTTCCTCCTCTTTCGTATGGCCAAGTGAAGTTGGCAGCGTCACGCGGTTGTCGAGGTCATCAAGACATTCATCCATTGAAGAGCCCCCGCTGTGGGGGGTGCGGTGGATGTCGGTGATTGTTGCTCACGAACCCGGCGGCGCGCGGGGTCACGCGAGCCGTGACCTGGCTCTGGTGACCGCAGAAGCCGCCTTCTTCTCGTCTTCATTGTCCATCCGCGGCTGAGGCGTCTGCCGCGTCTGCCGCGTCTGCCGCGTGCTGTTCTTGTAGCGGTTCGGGGCTCGCCGCCGTTCCCTGGATCGGTCACGCACGCGCCCAGTGATAGCGCAGAACCAGAGTTTGCTGTCCACCTAGCCTGGCACCACACAGTCGGTGACGGCTAAGGGCACTTCATCGCCCAAGTGCGTGTAAGGGTGCTCGTGCTCCACTGAGTGTGTGCGTGTCTGCGTGGGTGTGCCTGCGTGCGTATGAGTGAATCCGTCCGTGCGCTTGGAGAGTCGTTTGCACGCGCGCGCGTGTCTCTGTGTGCTGATTTAACGACCTCTCTGCTGGCGTTGTGGGCAGCAGAGGGAAGTGCAGAAAACATCCATTATGTTCCCCACTCATCTGTGTGCTCCCTACCTCCGCTGACTCGCAATGGCCGGTGCGGTGAGGTGTGGTGAAATAACCCCGTGGCCTGCAGAAGCGTGGGGAGGCCCTCGTCCAGAAGTTGATTGGCAAAGAAATGTGCACGTCAAGTGCTGGGGTATGCCCGTGTGCGCGTGGCAAAGTGTTCGTGTATGCGGGTGCGTTGTTGTGTGTGTTGTTCTATGTCGACCTAGGGGGGGTTCAAGACCGGTTTAGATATTCCTTGTTGGTGCTGGGCATGGCCGAGGTGGCCGTGTTAACGGTGTGGTTGTGCCTGGCGCAGCGTGTAAACATCAGCACTGGGGAGACCACGGCGGCTGGGCGTGATGCCGTCTGCACTACCGGCTCCTCTGCGACGCGAGCCTTCATAGGTGCTCGCCAACGGCGCCAGCCCCAGCGCTCCACACGGCTAAGCGTTCATCTCCGTGTTCTTTCTGTGGCGCGTTCTGCCAGGTGTTCGGATGTGGCTCCGTGGCTCAGGTGGAACTGAGCCACCACTCCGCCGGAGAGACTCTCACCATCAACCTCGCCTTCGCATTTGGGGTGGTCATGGGCGCTTACCTGTCCTGGGGCATCTCAGGTGAGTGGAGGACCTGGAGGGCACTTCAGCTGAGTTGCGATGGTTACGGTGCGATGGTCAAGGAGTAGCGATGCTGTGATGGTGATGGGGTGCTGGTGGTGTGTGCTGGCTGGCAGGTGCACACCTGAACCCCGCCGTCTCGTTCTCCATGTCGCTGATCGGACGCTTTCACTGGTGGAAGCTGCCCATTTTCTGCCTCGCGCAGTTCCTGGGCGCGTTCACAGCGGCCGCCACCGTCTACGGCCTCTACCACGGTAACCACAGCAACCGCAAGGACAAGCGGAGCTGGCGAGCCTCCACTCGACAGCCCCTTGTGGCCTCCTTGACGACTCTGACCTTGACGACTCTGACCTCGAGGACTCTGACCTCGAGGACTCTGACTGGGCGCGCATCGTCGCCAGGGAGCGAGGAAAGCCTCACCCAGTCTCTGGGATTCTTTTTCAGGGAGGTTCTGCATCAGGATAACGACTTGCGTTGATATGACGCTTCCAAAAACGCATCAGTCAATCAAAGCGCCTCACATCTCAGTCTAGCCAAAGGGACCCCCAATGGCAGCTTTCTCTGTGTAGCACAAGGTGCATGCAGCACCACCCTGCAAATGAACATTGGTCTGCCAGTTGGTCGCGATGACGTGATGTCGTTTTTCCCAATCAGGTAATATGCGAGTTGTTTATTAAATTTATGTTTTGAGAACCTGGAATAAACCCACCGCACGTATCAGGGAAAATGTCCGCATGAAGGGGTCCACGAACCCACTTGCTGTACTGCCATCTCTTGGTCACCCGCAGCCCAGCAGGTTCGGGAAGTCTCACAACTTTGCGTGATCCACGCAACCATTGCCCGCTAGATCGCCAACTCTCCACGCCCGGCTGGCTCACCCCCCAATCCCCCCCCCCCCCCCCCCGTTTTTCCACAGAGGCCCTCATGGCGTTCAACGGTGGGAACCTGACTGTGACTGGCCCCGGTGCCACGGCCGCGATATTCGCCACCTATCCCTCGGAACACCTGTCCATCGCCGGTGGCTTCCTTGACCAGGTGAGGGCGCGGCGGGCGGCGGCCAAGGGGAGGCCGCCAAGCATGCGAGTCTGCGTGGCCAGCTGAGAGCTCAGCTTCGAGAGTGACCCTGGGAAACCAAGACGACAAAAGCAACATGAGTCAAATAGAGAGCCGGTGTTGCTCTCTCGCAAGTAACCCAAGGCACATTGGGTTACTTGCGAGTCTCTGCAACTGGAGTAGAAACGTGTCCAGGTAAAGGTTCAAGTTGAGGTGGCCGGGTGGGTCAGAGATCAGAGCAGCACTGAGCTGGCACTGCTCAGATCCTCGGTTTGACTTCAGGTTTTAGCCACCACCCGTGATTAAACTGTGTTCTCAAGCGTAGCTAGTTGATCGTCCCGGCCTGGTCACCAATGTCTGCACAAAACACCCGCAGTTAATTGGGCAAACTGCCAGGTCTCAGAGTTAATAACATCTGTTTAACTGTCACGTGATGAACATTTATCGGGGGCAGGGTGAGTGGGACAGTGCTGCCCCCTACTATGTGAACCAGATGACACGCAAGGAGGTCTCAGAGGTAGCTCTGCGGTGTCCGCTTCCGTGGGCCATTCTCCAGCACGAAGGGGTGGGGGGGGGGGGGGATTGCACCACTCCGCGGGAGTTCGTCGCGTGACAAAGGCGGCCATCTCACCGCCCTGTCCCCGATCCCTGCAGGTGCTGGGCACGGCGCTCCTCCTGCTCTGCGTGATGGCGCTGCTGGACCCCAAGAACAACGCAGTGCCGCGCGGCCTCGAGCCACTGCTCGTGGGGCTCGTGGTGCTCGTCATCGGCCTCTCCATGGGCTTCAACGCCGGCTATGCCATCAACCCCGCGCGCGACCTCGGCCCCCGCGTCTTCACCGCCATGGTCGGATACGGCAGCGAAGTGTTCACGTACGTGGAGCGCACGGCGGTCAGCGATCACGTGCCGGGGGGGACACGGGGCAGGGAGACACAGAGCGGGGAGACACCAGGCAGGGAGACACCAGGCAGACAGAGAGTAGGGTGGCCAAGGATGTGTGTTTGGTGAATGGATTTGAGCTGCTCTAGCTCGCGTGTGGCAATGCCCGTCTCTGTTGGGTGCCCCGAACGAGTGGTGGAAACTCCATGTTCATATTCCAAGGAGTCAGAATTTCCGCTGCAACCACTGTAAACATTTCACTAAGAGGTGTGATTTTCTCAATACTGTAGAGATGATGGGTAGAGTTGACATCAGCATGGGAAGCATGGAATTTGAGATATTTTTGAGAGGGACCTGTTTGGGATTTATGGCCAATACCTGATTCAGTATTTAACATTTTTTTTGCTCTGGAGATCCTCTGCGGTTGAGCGTGCAGTTGATTTTTGTTGAGCGAGGTGAGAAGATTTTCATGAACCTTCAGGATGAGTCAGCCTCATGCTCACCTGGTCACCAGAAAAACAAAAACAAAAAAACAAATACAGTTACAGCAATGAAGCAAATAGAAATCAGAGTAAAAATCGATCACATTGCACAAACATAAATCAATATTAAATAATACATTCCCTGGAGTGAAGATCGGCTCCGGTGGGCTATATTTAGAGTCATCATAGCTACGGTGGCGATTGAGTGGCCTGTCTCTTGAGCTTCCTCGTGTCTTTGGTTACGACCGTGGCAATAGTCATTTCTATTTTCCAGCTTTCAAGAGATACAATAAACGCTCCACACATCCGTCAACAGCACTGCGGCCTCAAAAGTGAAAATGTATAAAAGGCAGCGTATTGGTCGATGGGTCTTCTTCACCGCAAATAACGGACCATTCGCCAAAACGTCGCCTATTATATATTTTTCATTTTAAAGCCACACACACAGACACTGTTGTTGTTGACAAGTGTGTTGAGTTTTGTGTTATTCGTGCTTTGTGCACCACTGCCTACGCAGCAGTAGCAGCGCCACTAGGTTATCCGTCAAGAGACGATTACATGGGCCCTCCTTTGCCAGTACCAAAATATGAGAATAGGTTTTTCCCCTTTTATCTGGCAACAAAACAGCGGTTACACCTGCTTTGTTGCCAGATTAAAGGGGAAAACTATTCTCAGACGATGACATCTTCGGTGAATGGCATGGCTTCATATTGTGCTTCAGGCGACCCCCATTCTTGCGGCAGAGAATTAACCTGGCTGGGGGACTCCAAATCGGCTTCGCAAACGTCGCATTTCTCTCGGAGGTGGCGACTCATGAGCGTGAGCACGGCCACTTGTCGGTGCAACCCGTGGTGCCGCCGGCTCCGAGTTGACCCAGCGGGCGGGCGTGGTGCGCGTTTGTCTCCGCGTGTGCGTGCAGGACGGGCCCCCACTGGTGGTGGGTTCCCGTGGTGGCCCCCCTCGTGGGGGGCCCGCTGGGCACAATGTGCTACATGTTCTTCGTGGACCTGCACCACCCAGCCCCGCCGGAGCTGTCCACCGGCAAAGCCAAGCCGCTGGTGGACAGCGACAGCGACCACCCCAAGGCCAACTACGCCGTGGCGGTGAAGATGGAGCAGCAGGCATAGCCGGGCATGCGGGTGGACCCTCTGCCCACCCAATCTACCTGGAGGCGATCAGGTGTACCCGGAGGTCACCATGTGTACCTGGAGCTCACCAGGTGTACCTGGAGGTCACCAGGTGTACCTGGAGGTCACCAGGTGTACCTGGAGGTCAACAGGTGTACCTGGAGGTCATCAGGTGTGCCCAGAGGTCACCAGGTCTACCCAGAGGTCACCAGATCTACCTGGAGGTCACCAGGTGTACCTGGAGGTCACCAGGTGTACCTGGAGGTCACCAGCATACAAGTAGCATAAAACTCCGTAGATGTTTGTTTTTACTATCACATATTCAGCTTTAAATGACAACGTGTAAATATTCCACTCCGGGTGTTTTCAACAGCCGCCCACTGGTGTCCCCGTGGAGATTCGCAGGGCCCCATGAGTGGACGTGGTCACCGCACCCAAGCACAAGCGCTGCCATTTTATAATCACGAATTTGTCCTGATTCAGGGCTCTATTTAAATGCACATTGTAGGCGAAACGCAAAAAACATACAACCCCCGTACGACGAGAATGTATTGTTTGTATTATCGCAATTTCCAGAGTGTATATTTTCTTAAGACGCGAATTAAACTGGATAAAATAGACTTTTGTTAAATAAATGATTGTATACATAAGCATCGTGCTGATGAGGATGGGTTTTCTGTTTTCGTTAAGATAACTGATGAGGTTTTAGTCCCAGTGCCGGGGTTCATCTGTGTTGACCGAACGAGACACATGTACAAAAAACTCCCAACCCCCCCCCCTTCCCGTGCCTATATAAAGCTGCAACAGCAGATCATTCTTTCTCACCTGATGACGGACGCTCGTGTTGCTACCGAAACGTCGTGTTCTTTTATATTTTTTTCTATCTACGTGACTTTACCGAAAGAACCATAGAGAATAGGGACACAAGTACACACACATTTGCAACAACAACAACAACCGACATTCGCCACTAAGTGGCGGTGACATCACCACGACGCTTGTGCCAGGCTATGTGCACCTTGAGGCCACGTGAAGTGTCGAACGCCCGCTGGCAGGAGGTCACGGGGCAGACCCAGATGCAACAGGTCGACCGACTGAGACGACTGAGATGACTGGCTGATGCACCACCTGTGTCCCCTACTGTGCCAACTTGCTGTGCTTTAGCCACTCGGCGCTCCGCTCGTTGTTGTGAGCGTCGCTCCTCATCCCTCCGTTATTGTTGGAGGGAGACTGCCTCCAACTGCCCAGTAGCGGCCTTCATGAGCCTCCTCCACAGAGGTCGATCTTGACACTGCTGGTACCAGTCATCAGCAAGTCCATTCAGCTCCACGTCCTCCTGTACCACATCACTCCATCTCTTCTCTAGCCCGTGCCACGCCCGTTTAGCCCCCTCGATCCGGCCGAACAAAAGCTGTTTAGGCATGCGGTGGCTGGGAATGCGGGCTACATGACCCAGCCAACCCAGCCTTGCCTGCCGGAGGAGCTCACCGATGGGACTTTGTCCACATCTTTCAAGGATGTGTGAGCTCCTCATACAATGCAGCCTGGTTAAAGCCAGGATGGATCGTAGACAGGCTAGCCTAAAAGTTTATAACCGGCGAAGATGTTCCATTAGGGAGGTCCACGTTTCGCAAGCATAGAGAAGGGATGGAATGACCGTGGCCGAAAAGACCTGAAGCTTCGTGCGGAGTGATAGACCAGGTAGCTTTCACACAGCGTTACGCAACCGATGGAAAGATAATGCTTCTCGACTGATTCGGAGTGAGACCTCTGCTGTTAAACCGGAGCTGGTCATGAGCGCACTGCCCAGGTATGGGACACTCTCCACTCTCTCCACAACTACCCTTTTACCAATTGGGAGTGGTGGGGATGGAGTGTCCGATGGTACAAAATACCCAGGCAGGTGCTAAGTTTTGGTGGGGCTGATGGTAAGGCCCCACCTCTTGGTGGCAAGCTCCAGGTTCAGTAGCAGCGCCTCTAACTCCTCCTCTGAGAGAGCAGCAATTACCAGATCATCGGATAACATAACGTGGTTGAGCAATAGGGAGCCATCTCTTGACCGCACCCGGGCATCGATGAGCCTCCCATTATATCTGTACCAAATGGAAATTCCTCTGGTACAGCTATTGAAGGCTTCACGAACTACGTGGTCAAAATAGATGTTACATAATGTGGGAGCCAGAGGACATCCCTGTCGCACCCCAAGATGGTGTAAAGGGAATGGCTATGACTCCCGGCCACGCTTGCACACACATACACGCACACGCACAAAGACAAAGATCCCCCGTATAGCCTTTACATATTGTTGGGGCAAGTGCTGTCAGCGAGCACCTGTGAAGGCCGACACGGCACACGAGGGGGTGGGTGGCCAACACCACGACCGGCCGCCGTTGTCTCCCCAGTGGCGATGTTTACACATTGCACCAGGTACTAATTTAAGGCTAAGTCGACCGAGGGGAAGCCCAGGACCGATGCAGATAATCGTCACTGGGATTGGGCGTGAGCGGGAATCGAACCCGGGATCGCCAGGTTTGGTAGCGCAGCGCGCTAACCGCTACACCACCGCTCACAATCAGATCTCATATGGAAACAAAACAAAGCCTCCAGATGCTCCTTGGGCTCGCGGTTGGTCGAGTTCAAGTCGAAGATACAGATACACTTGGCTACTGGGCACCACGTATACACACTCATTCATTGGCCGAAAACATCGTTGTAGTATATAGAGGACCGCAGAGCTTGGGCAATTGTTGAGAGCGCCGGCTCTTTCTGTGGTTCCTCGGCGATTGTGAGAGATCCACTTTGCACGGAGGCCTCCGCTGCTGCGCGCAGTGCATCTTCTGCACGTGGTCATCACCGACTCGGCCAGCCGGGAGTCGTGGCACGGCGCGGCTCGGGGCCGAGACATCGACGGCATCGCTCCAACGGCGGAGACGAAAGGACAACTTCTCGAAGTTGCTCTGCTCTCGTGCATTCGCGTGGCAGTGGCCGGACTGTCGAGGAGGGTGTTTCCCTGGGTTACTAATTGTTCACGGTCGTCGTTCTCTCTTCATGCTGGCTCGTAATGGTATTCACTCACAGTCTGTGCGCATGCTGGTGTCAGACGCGATGCGCACGTTCCACTCGTCAATCAGGTTGAAGTTGAATTGCATCTGGAGTTGGGTGTGATTCAACATGAACGCCTCACCGAGTCTCAAGACTCTTTCCGGAGTGTCCTGCCAAGTTGTCACAATCGGGGCGTTGAATGCTGCTCTCTCTCTCTCTCTGTGTTTCCGAACGTAATTTGCGGTATAATTTTGCTAAATTTGGAGAGAGAGAAAAAAATGTGAACTGTGACGCGGGCATATCATGGGCAACTCTTGTGAATGACGCCACGGGATCTTTAACGTCGGCTCATGAGATCGGCGGCACGAGCGGTGCGAGTATTTGTTTACGGTGAAGACTCATCGCGGTGCTCGCCAGGGCAGCAGCGAGAAGTCGCGAACTCGCGACCGCTGGGCCGTGTCACCGCCCCCCTTTATATTTGAACCTTGTGCTGCTGCTGCTGTTGTTTGAACCGTGTTTGTTTCATGATCCCCAGGGTCTCCCTTTCATCTCGACTGGCTCCCATATGGTTACAATAGAATACACGTCCACGGGAGAGGCTGCTGCTGCTGCCCGCGACTCCCACGCGCGCTCTGTCTCACCCCAGACTCATCTCGCACCCCCAATCCCTCGCACGTTCTTCCCACCGCTGGCAGCAATTAAACTTTGCCCTCCCCCGCATCAATGTGCGCATTCATCGGAGATAGGGGAGATGTAATGGGACACGTAAACAAGAACTCCGAGATGTGTCACAGATGTATTCACATTTACAGGAGAGATGACTGGGGAGAGAGATGCATTCAGACCAGTCAGAGATTTGTAGTCCAGAGAGACGGATAATATAGATATGTATTGACGAGCGCTTATGAGAGAGACAGGAGACACATTTATTCAGAAGCGAAGGAAAAGCGAGATGAGACATTGTATTGAGAAGAGATGAGAGAGCGAGACGTGAATTCAGGAGAGATACTAGAGGAGGGGACGGTTTCAGGAAAGATGGAAGACAGACAGGGAGAGCTTCCAAAGAGATGGGAGCTATATGAGCGCTATAGATGCAGATAACATGTTAATGAAACAAAGGAGAGATATACTACGATGGGACAGAACATTCCGAATAAAGATCAACACCAGCACGTTCACACTGTGACCAGAACAGAGTTAGAAGGCTCCCAGCCTCGCCAGCGGAGTCGTGATGTTGTGAAAGTTGCCCATCGCCGGCGCCGTGCCGCCTCGCCATGCCGTGGGGGCATTACCCAGACATCGCCCCCCCCCACATCACTGCCCGTGTCCCCCACCCACCCACCCACCTCCCCCACCTGTGGGCCAACCCCGTCCAAAGTGCGCTCGGGGAGAGGCGTTCCGATCCCGGCTCCGGGATGAGGAGCGCGCGACTCCATCCCCGCGCGCCTCTCCTCCTCCCCGCGGCGAGACGGCGAGCGCCATGGGCTCCCCAGGGCCGCTCTACTCGCGCCTGTCGCGGGTCAAAGTGTCCAATCCCGTGCTGCGAGAAGCCCTCGCGGAGTTCATCGGCGTCTTTATTCTCATCGTGAGTTGACGTCGCTCCATCATCATCACCATCAGCATCACCATCATCATCACCATCATCACCATCATCATCAGCAGCACCATCATCATCACCATCATCAGCATCATCACCATCAGCACCACCATCATCATCACCATCATCACCATCATCATCATCAGCCATCATCACCATCATCATCCAGTGCCACGTGGATCATCGTGCGTACAATGTGTCGATGTTTAGACACAATCATCTGTGTTCGTGGAATGTGTCCGTGTGTTTTTGTGTCGTTGTGTTTGTGTCTATGCATTGTGTCTGTGCGTTTTATGTTTGAGTGTTTGTGTGAGAGTGTGAATGCGTGTGTCAGTTTGTAGATAGCGGTGTCTCAGTGGTTGGGTACTGCTCTAGGATCCCGGCCACAGCTACCATCATCAGATGGCAAATTATATTTAAAACGTGTACTCAGCCTCCCCTAGGTCTACTCGGCCTTAATGTCTAACCTCGCGGAGTGTGCATATATTGACACGACAAAGGCGGCCGGTCACGATGCTGCCCACACGACGTTCTTCGCGTGCCGGAGAGAGAGTCGGCGAAGCTCGCAGAACCATCCTCATCATCATCAGCAGCTTCCCCGATCCCTGGGGAGGTGCTCGCTAACAGCACTTGCCTGTGCGTGTGATGTGTGTGTTGTGTGTGTGCTGTGTGTGTGCTGTGCGTGTGATGTGTGTGTTGTGTGTGTGCTGTGTGTGTGCTGTGCGTGTGCTGTGCGTGTGCTGTGTGTGCTGTGTGCTGCGGTGCGCCCTGTCAGCTGTTCGGCTGCGGCTCAGTGGCCCAGGTGCATCTGAGCCGCCACTCCGCCGGGCAGACTCTCGGCATCAACTTCGCCTTCGCCTTCGGGGTGGTCATGGGGGCCCACCTGGCCTGGGGAGTCTCGGGTGAGCGGGGTAGGGGGCACGGGGTGGGGGGCACGGGGTGGGGGCACGGGGTGGGGGGCACGGGGTGGGGGGCACGGCACGGGGCACGGCACGGGGCAATGAGGAGAGGGCCAAGTGGTATGCCCCGCAGAGGATAGCTCTGCTTTCAGAAAGACACACAGACGCAGATACACAAGCACAGAAGCAGACACACAGGGACATGCACACGGATACAAAAACGCACGGACATACACACGCAGATATGCAGACACAAAGAGAGACACAAACAGACACTTAGCTACATATCCTTATGCGCAAGCACACAGACGCAGGACATACATTCACACACACACACACGCACGCATGCATATACACAACATAGACACATACATATACACAAATGTAGACACAGGTTCAGAAATATGCATACATACGTCAAGACAGACAGACTTGGCAACAGAGACACGGACATTCTGATGCACATGCACACAATGTGTTATTCAGTCGCTTTTTGTCACCTGCTTTTCTTGGTGTGTCTATGTTCATGTGTATTACTGTGTGTGTGAGAGTCTAAGGATGGAGCGGTGGCGCAATGGTTAGCGCACTGCGCTACGAACTCGGCAACCCGAGTTCAGATTTAGAATCGGAATGTTTATTTATCCTGGAGGAGGAATCTGAAGAGCTGATAAGCTCTTTTTCACAGATGTTCAGTCGGAGTTGGAATTATCTGAACCGTTCTCGGACCTCCCATAGATCGACTCAGCCTTAAATAAATACCTGGTGCGATGTATAAGATCAGCAATGGGCATAGTGTTTGCCGCCTCACCCCCTCATGTGCCCTGCCGACTTCTATAGGTGCTGGGAAACAGGAATTGTCACAAGTGTCTGTTGATGGCGACACGGGGACCTCTGTCTGTGTGGTCGTGAGTGTTGTGAGGCAGCCATAGGCTGCAATGGTGTACCCATGGCGTGGTTGGCGGTGTGGAGAATACTGGAGATGGGGTGATAGCTGCGTCATAGTGGGGATGGTGTGATGGTGGTGTCGTGGTGATAATGTTGTGATGGTGACGGTGTATAATGGTGGTTGATAGTGGTGATGATGATGGTGGTGGTGATGTTGTGATGGTGGTGACATGTGCTGGCTGGTGTACTCTCGCACTCTCGCTCTCCACTCGTGACTGATGGTGATGTTGTGGTGGTGTAATGATGATGGTAACATCGTGATTGTGATGGTGTGATGATGGTGATATTTTGATGGTGATGTCGTGATGGTGCTCATGGTTTGATGGTGCTCATGGTGTGATGGTGATGTGATGGTGGCGATGTTGTGATGGTGGTGCTGTGATGGTGGTGATATGATGGTGTAGTGATGGGGTACTGGTGGTGTGTGCTGGCTGCCAGGTGCGCACCTGAACCCCGCCGTCTCGCTCTCCATGTCGCTGCTCGGCCGCTTACCCTGGAGGAAGCTCCCCGTGTTCTGCCTCGCGCAGTTCCTGGGCTCGTTCGTGGCGGCTGCCACCGTCTACGGCCTCTACTACGGTAACAACAACAACCACCACAACAACAACAACCACCACAACAACAACCGCGACAACAACAACAACCACCACAACAACAACAACCACGACAACAACAACCACCACAACAACAACAGCCAAGGGAATCGAGGACTCCGAGAGACTGTCCGTGTTTCCGTGCCCCAAATATTCAACATCGCCGCCATGACCCGATAGCAAGCGAGCATTTGAAACATCTCCAGAGAAGAGTCCCAAGACGACGTTGCTTCTGGGCCTGTGGATAATTCTCCAGCACTCGGGGGCTTGCACAGGCGGCACGCATCCACATCAAACCCGAACAGAACCCCAGCTATGTGAGACGGTGCTCATCTCCTGTTCACAGCCCTGAGCCAGTGGTGCAAATTACACGTTCCCATGACGGGGGGGGGGGCGAGTTCATCCATAGGACCACCACAAGTGGTATCGTGGAGATGTGGTGTTCAATCCTACAGCCTGAAATGTCCTGCACCCGTTTTCCAGTTAGCATCGAGATGTGTTCTAGGTGATAACTGCTGCTGCGCTTGGGAGAGATCTTCATGGTATGGCCGGCCACGTGCAGCTCGCAATGGGGAGGCACTACTTCTGGTCACCCGCAGCCCAGCGGGTTCGGGGAGTCTCGCAACTTTGCGTGATCCACGTGACCATTGCCCGCTAGATCGCCAGCTCTCCATGCCCGGCTGGCTCACCCCCTCGTTCCTCCACAGATGCCCTCATGGCGTTCAACGGCGGGAACCTGACGGTGACCGGCTCCGGTGCCACGGCCGCGATCTTCGCCACTTATCCCTCGGAACACCTGTCCATCGCCGGCGGCTTCTTTGACCAGGTGAGGGCGCGGCGGGCGGGTCGAGTCTGCGTGGCCAAGTGAGAACTCAAGAGACCAGGGCTCGAGTCTCAGCTGCGAGAGTGACCCCGGGTCACCAAGACGACAAAAGCGACACGAGTCAAATAGAGAGCCGGTGTTGTCCTCTCGCCGTCTGCAGGAGACTCCTTGGGTTCCTTGCCAGTCTCTGCGGCCGGAGTAGAAACGTGGCTAGAGTGGGACGTTTTCGTTCGGTTGATCGATTACATCATCGATTGCGTTCATCCTTGGCTTTGGTCGTTTATGGAACTTTGCTGCTGGTAGTGGCCGCGGTTTGTTGGGCAGCACCACGATCGCAGACCGGGAGGTGTTTCAATTGGTGTGGCGGATAATCGCACTGCGACCACTTCAGCACCAGGAAAGATCCCGTCAGGGCACCACCAGCACCCTGGCAAAAAATGTAACTTGCACGTGATAGATATACAGGGAATGGTCTGTAACCCGCATGAGCAGAAGTAATTTGTTAAGCCTTGCAGAGTCTTGAGACTTTACCCCGAGATTCCTGCGTTTCTTCTTGGCGAGTTACTGTACAGACGGACGGGACTCTGACCGTGATAGAAGGTAGGGTAGAGGAGCAGGTAGGTGGGTAGATACGTGAGTCGGTGAGCGAGGATAGGTGGATCAGGTAGGTGGTTAGGATAGTTGGGCAGAGCAGGCGAGTCGGTGGGTTGGTAGGTAAGTGGAAGGGTTGGTGGGTTGGTAGGTAAGTGGAAGGGTTGGTGGGTTGGTAGGTAAGTGGAAGGGTTGGTGGGTTGGTAGGTAAGTGGAAGGGTTGGTGGGTTGGTAGGTAAGTGGAAGGGTTGGTGGGTTGGTATGTGGCTGCCAGGGTCGGCGGGTAGGTGGCTGGCAATGCAGTAGCCCTCAACGAGAGTGACTTGTCCGTCGCTCTGTCCTCGTCGGTACCCCCCCCCCCCCACCCCCGCAGTTGCTGGGCACGGCGGCGCTGCTGCTGTGCATCATGGCACTCCTCGATTCCAAGAACAACGCCGTGCCGCGCGGCCTGGAGCCGCTGCTCATCGGCCTGGCGGTGTTCGGCATCAGCCTCTCCATGGCCTTCAACTCGGGGTGCGCCATCAACCCCGCGCGAGACTTCGGCCCCCGCCTCTTCACCGCCATGGCGGGATACGGCAGCGAGGTGTTCACGTACGTGGGGGGGGGGGGGGGGGGGGGTCGGAAGACGTGAAGCAGGCAGATGCTGAGCGGGGTGACCGCGTGCTCTTGGTTTCTATTCGGGTTTAAGAGTTGACCGCTGGCTATGTCACAATCCGACAAAGCAACGTCCCTGATCACTGTGGACACGTGGCGGTGCGCATCTCCGTCAGAGAAACCTTGCGCCTACGATGGGAATTCCACTTTCACGTTGCACGGGACCAGAATCTCCCATGGAACGACTGTGACCCTTGAGTCGATGGCTTGTCACCCCCTTATGAGGATTTGAACTATTTTTGAGGGTCACGATTGGTGCTTAGCATCGCCTACAAATTCATGGGGAATATCCCTCAAAACCCCGTTATAAAAATACCTCAGCAACCTACCTGCTCTACCGCTAATAGCTACCTCCCATCCCACTCTGATTAAGCATCGCACAGCGGATGATGAGACCTTTGCGTTCTCCAACTACTGCGCCCCACCGATTCCCACGTGTCGTGTCTGCGTGCGCCGTGCAGGGTGGGCCCCCATTGGTGGTGGGTCCCCATCATCGCCCCCCTCGTGGGGGGCCCGCTGGGTGCCCTGTGCTACATTTTGTTCGTGGACCTGCATCACATCGCCCCGCCGGAGCTGCCCCCAATGGCGCTGGAGCCGCTGGTGTCCGACGAGAACCACCACAGCAAAGGCAGCTACGTCGCCGTGAAGACGGGGCAGCAGCCATAGGCGGCTTGCCGGGCCGTGCCCACGGCCACCAGTGACGACTCGTCGCGGAGGCCGCCCCAATGTGATGTTACTTCCCCGCTCAACGTGCACAAAGTTGCATGGCAAGCTAAGGGAGAATTAGTCGCAACAATAATAATAATCACAATTTACATCCAATCGTTCTCAGGGCGCTCTGCATGGCAAGGCGGAAAATAGTTTAACAACAAAGTAAAGAAGAATTGAGAAAGACGGTTGAACCTGTAGGAGTGTCACGTGGAGCTCACCAGATGAACTGAACCGCCACCCGGAGCCGGAATGATCGGGGACCCAATCATGAATGTTCTAATTATTATGAATGGCGAATTTGTGACGATTCCACTTTATTTATGATACGCAGTGGGGATGAATGCTTCGTGTGATATATATAACCCGTCAGATAAAAATAACTGTTTGTATTGATGCAATCTTAAAATGTATATTTTGTAAAAACTTGATGTGAAATGGTAATTATACTTTTTTTTCGGATAAATTATCGTGTAAATAAGATCCGTGCTATTGCGGGAGTGGGTTTTGTCCAGGTGAAAATAGCGGCACACGCGTTACCAATCCACGTACTTTAGTTTCAACTGTGTTAAATTAACGATGCACACACACACGATGTTCCTTTCAAACCTGAAAATAAATTCAAAGCTCATTAACGTGTTATCTGCTGTCACACAACTGCTCTGATTAACGCCTGACATGCTGGAATATATTTGTATTAACAATGTGATTAGATAGGGCTAGGAGTGTTAACACAAGCTGATCACATGGCCTCCATATCGCGAGCCCAGCACCCACTCTAATTATAGCCAAGCAGGTTCACGTTCAAGCGTATCTGGCGGGGTGACATTTGGACGTTTTGGCACCAAAGTCCCCCATTACTCGAGGGCGCGGTCAAGGTTCTGGAGCGCAGCGACAGCGTCTTAAGCCGCCGAAGGGAGTCGCCGGTATTTACACCTCAACGTCGGGGCAGTTAGAATTGCAGTTCCACCACTAGCGATGATGCGTTATGCAATTAGATCTGTACGCAAGGGCTAAACATTAACCCCGTTATCTAAGGCTGTGCGTGCGGCCGAAGGTTGCCCTCGGCTGTTGCTTCTCATGACAGTCGCGAGCCGTTGTTATCTCCATGCCCATGGCCTTGCAACACCGCATCAGGCTGGACCAGTGGCCTCGTGGCCCGTGACATGGCGAAACTAGCTGGCTCATTAGGACAGCATGTACGTACACAAGATACTCGAGCAATCGTGGTACCGACACATCGGAACGATTTATCCCCAAGTGCAAACCCTGATATTTGATATAAGCCGAGGCAAAACACGAAGCTTTTCCCCCTGCGCTTGACAAAGCCTGCCACAATGTTGTTTTATTTAAAACTTCAGGCTAAAAACAAGCACGTCCCGAACCCTAACGCCAAGCCTCGAGCACAACAAAGACGGCCACTATTCTCTAACGAGCATTAATCGACCCAGTCGCTGGGTTCTCGCCTCGTCGCTCTCATTAAGAAGCTCTCGTGTTGCGGAGCACGTGCCTGGCCTGCGAGCTCTCGGATTGCATGTGGTCGCCTGCAACCGTTTTGCTGCAAAGGGCTGAGCACAAACTTCACGAGAGCCTCGGCGATGGTGTCCACACGGGGGGGTGAACTTGTAACCCGTGGTGGGGCTCACGTGGACTTTGCCGTGGGTCAACACGATGCCAGGTGCAGCGGCCAAGTGCAATACACAGGTGAAGTCCACTGCCCACCACCCGTACACACGGCGCCCAGACAACACCGCGTCCTCGTCTCATCCATCCCCTCCCCCACCGAACACCGCCCCCCAATTTGGCAGTAAACCGACTCCACCGTCCAACAAGATAAGGATGCAGAGATGTACAAACAGCTGGCGATTATCAGTGCAGTGAAGCGCATCACTTCATCTCAACTCGATCCCAAACATTTACAGAGCCAAGAGCCACCGAGGTTCGAGATCTCTCGCCACGAGCGATTCTCCACGTGACCCTGCGACGACCTCGGACAAGGCAGTGCGAGTCTCCGGTGCCCTCGATTTCACCAGATGTGGTGGCGTGTCTTAATCAGGCGCAGGCCATCTCTGATGCACGGCCACTCTTGAAAATGTTATTTATTTTACGAATATGTAATTCATTTTGCAGTTCCTTACAAACTTGATATTTGGGCTTAGACATTAAACATTATAATCGAGTACTTTTGGCAGTGCCGTTCTTTCAGTGCAAGGCTATCACCAACGTGGCGCGTTTCTAGAACGGGATAGGCAACATCGCGATTGTGGTTCTACCCAACTAAGTACGGCAGCATCCCACGAGCACATCTTCCTCCTCCTCGTCGTCGTCAGTGTTCTGTCTTCCGCTGCTCTCTTCATCTGTCCGCACGTCCTCCCTTGTTGCACATCGTCTCGCATCGTCATTCTTCTCCTTCCTCTCGGTCTCGTGTGATCAGCTCTGGAGGGATGATGGGCTCAATCCACCCCCCAGAGACATTAAACACGGACACTTCAGACTCTGCAATTAACACGGTTGGCTACGTACGTTGCGAAAGAAGTTCAACAGCAACATACATACTAGCCATTCGCTCCACTGCTGAACCACGAGGCGGATTAAACAAAAACCGAACACATTCATAAATAACACCGCACTAAACGGAGAAATATATATGGAGGCATGTCGGGCAATGGCCCATCGTTACGGCAGCTCTATTCGTATTTAGCCGAGAGGACTAAACGATGGGTGTGAGGTACCACGAGTCCGTGACTGTGGCGGGGGGGGCGCGAGGGCACGCCGCTAGACACACCGACGTGGCCTTCAGCTGCCGTGACGCAGCACGGAGCTCTTCCCAGCACCTTCCCAACACCTCACACACGCACGCACACACACACGCACGCAGGCACACACACACGTGTGCGTGTGTGTGTGTTTTGGCTCCCGTGTGTTCGTTGAGCCCGGGCGACCTGGACACCATAAACAATCCGCGTCTCGGACAGTATGCAAATATATTTTGGTACTCCGCCAACCGAAAGCTGCGTTGGTGTTTTTAACGATCGTGCACATTCACCCGCTTTGGAAAACAGTTCTGCGCTCCGCAAGGTCATCTCCCGCGCGTTCGATGCTTTTGCGGCAGATATCGTGAAATACTTTGTAACTGCTGTTCAACGGCAAGAGGTCTGGGTCGTGCTCGCCAACAGCGATCTCTTCCTCCCTACCACCCAGGCTCAGCTCCAGCAAACTTCGTACTTGAAACAGCGGCAACTCGAGCGGATCTTTAGGTTTCCCAAGTTTTAAGCTCTCAGGACATCGGGACACAACTCGGCTGCATTTTCATCCAGCAGCACGCTTCCTCGATGCACGCTGCTGTGCAAGTGCATTCAGACATTAACTTGTTTCACACGTTGGCTGAATACTATTGAAAAAGAAACGTGTTGCACGGTTAAACGTACAAAGTTTAATTAAAAATATATTATTAAAAAATATATATGAATTTACATGTACAGTACTGAGTGATTTTAATGACATCTTCGATAAATTATCCCACAAAAACCACCGCAAAACACGCTGTAAAAAAACAACAAGTGACAAAGCACACAGGGCTACAGTCACACACACACCAACTCTGGGAGTTTAAAATTCATCCCAGACACCTCCCTGTGCTCATGTGGAACCGAGCACTCCGCGTACTTCACATTTAGACGTGTAACCTTGGCAGGGGTGAACAAAATAGCATGCAGTGAATACAATACACAGCACCACCCACTCCTGGAGGGACCGACATGGCAATCAACAGCGCTATATGGCAGTCAACCACAGCACACCGCCAATACCAACGACCGCAATGTGGCCTGCGTTTGCAGCACAAATTCTAGCCCGAGGTCGAACTTTCGCATAAACCCGACCTCGGCCAGACCATAACACCAAGGTAAAATGTTATGTTTCCAATTATGCTCACGTTAAAGTTATGGCATGGATATTACGGCTCCAAAATGTATGGTTATACCACCTGCGTTAAAAACTAAAGGAACAAATTGAGCGATTATGGCACAAACGTGAACAACATCCATAAAGTTAATACCGATGTTCACGACCAGGGGACCAGAGCTGACGCTGTTAACTACCAGAGTAATGGCGTTAACAATAAGGGCACTGGCATCAGTGACAGTCCATGGGCAGTCCAGGGGCGGTCTGTTACACGCTGCCTCTCTGAAAGCCATCGATGTGGACATCCCCTCGACGGCGTCACGCCCGCGTGCCACAGCGCCCGGCTGCTGGCGCGGCGCTCGTCACTGCTCGGGCCACGTGCCGTCACTCGAGGGCCGCGAGCCGCCGCCCGAGTCCGACGTCGTCGCCGACGACGAGTCCGTGACGGGGGCACCGCGCGCCCCGCGGTTCCCTGCGACCTTCGGCCCCGGCGCCCGCGACGCCGGCGCCCCGTCCCGCACGGGCGTCTCGCGCGAGCCCGGCGATCGCGCCCTGCCTGGGCCGCAGGAGGAGGAGCGCGGCGCCGTCGCAACACGCGGGCGACGCTGGGCGTGCGGGGAGGCGCCGGCCGGAGCCGGGGACCCGAGCCGACATCGGGCGCTTATGCCGGGCGCTCGCTCCGACGGCGCGGCATCTCGGAGGGGGCGCGGCGAGAGCACGGGGCCAACCGGCGCTTCCCCTTTACTGGGAATATCTCCTTCGCTTGGACCTCGAAAACCGTCGGACGAGTAAAACCGCACCGCCTTGACGGCACCGAGGCCGTTTGGTTTGCTCGCGGCGCCATGATTGTTTAGTAGCCTTGTAGGAAAGCCGGCCGCTCCGCGTGGGGTGGGCTTATCAGGGAGAAGCGATGGCGAGGGCAGCTCCCCACTCCCCTGCCCCATGTTGAGTTGCAGGTCGAAGCCGTGCAGCGACCGCTGTCTGAGCCACGAGTCAACGTCGTCACCTCCGCCGCCACGCTGCCGGTATTGCCCATGCCCTGGCTGTGGGCCCCGGGCCTCGACGCCGCTCCAAGCGCTCCTCTCGTCCCCGCGCGCTCCACCTCGGTTTAAGTCTCTTGTCCGGTCCTCCCACCCACCGCCGCCAGTGACACCCAGCACCGGCAAATTGGCCTTTGCTTGCTGGTTAGAGTTTTCCCTCTCTGCATGCGGAACATGGAGACAGCACTTCACTAACAGGAAGTCAACACGCTTCGACGTTTACACTGATAACGGACAGGTTCTCATCTTTGCTGATGGGCCTTGGAAATCCCACATTCCCGTGGTTGGGGGCCAGTCTCTTCACTTTAACAATGGAAAACACGAGATTCATATATAACAGCATTAATATAACAATCGTCCACTAATAAGCCACAGAGTTTCATAATTCACATATATTATTTAAAGGATGGTCCGAATTGGAAAGTTTGTAAACTCATTATTGAGGTAACGAGCATGGGGGAGGAAGCCAGAGAGTGTGGACAAGACTCCCACATCAGCAACCTACTTGGTGTGCTGCCCTGCAGGTTGGGTGTCACACAAACAATACGGATCTGGTGGTCCACCCACCCTGCCCCCCCCAGGGGTGTACTACCACACATCGCTGCCTTCATATCATTACCTCCACACGAGGGAGTACACTCCACAGCGCACATGATGGGAAGGGACAATGTCCTGCCAGCCTTTAAAACAACGATGTAACCAAGCCTTGCTGTCCAGGTTTGCTACCTATCCTTTGATCATAATTTCAGACCATTTATTATATTTTTATATATTTTCATATTATTTTCTGATCACGTTTCTGTTAGTTTCACAATTAGTGTATTGGTTTATTGCTTTTCAAATCACTCGCGTCTGCATTGGTGCATATCGCGCACACACGCGCGTGTGCATGTCTGGATTAGCGCTTTGAGACGTTTGCTGTGAATAACACGCAGAGGAAGATGGCGCTGACACTTCATCACGTGGCCGCAATATAAGTGACAATTTAACTGAACCATCTGCCTTGAGAGCAGCATGTACCCGCGCTCTGTGTGCGGGCGACGTCGGCAGGTCGAGGTGGGGCAACCCCCCACGCCGCGGTGGCCGCAGCAGCAGCACCAGCGGCAGCACCAGCGGCAGCGCCAGCGCCGCTCGTTCCGCCGGAAGAGCTGCAGCTCTGCCTGCAGGAAACCGCAGCGGGGAACAAACATTGCTCACTGTCAGCCGTCACGGCCGCCACCCCCCCTCACCCGCTTCCGCAGGCGACGTAGTTAATACCGTCACGGACGAAAGTGTGCCCGTGACCTGCTTAATATTTCATCCAGTTCCTAGTCTATTTTTCAAAATCACTCGTGCGGTGAATTTGATGAATTTCAGCACAGAAAGAGGTGCACAGAACGACACCGCAAGAAATGTGAAGGTCCACATCGGTCGCTCGAGCAAGAGAGCAGCGACGTGATGAATGAAACGCCAGGCACCCGAGTGCCTGGACCCATCAATCTTCTGGGCCAGTGGGACCATAAGCCTGAGCGTGACCATGGGCAGAAGACGTTTATGAAAGTGAATGTGACGAACCAGCGGGTTTAGTTTAAGCAATTCAAACATATTTAGCGTGATGTTTGTGTGTGTGTGTGCGTTAGCGCATGGGTGTGTGTACGAGCGGGGGTGTAGAGACGCACGTATTCACGTGCGTCTCGCAGACTCTACATGGTCACCGCCACCAATCAGTGGTCAATGCCTCAGGAAGGTGATGGACATGGAAGCGCCGGAAACTCGAGAGGGAGACCGAGAAAGGAGCGGTTGGAAGCGATGAACCGGCATTTGAAGGACTGTCGAGTGGACGTTGACACGATAGCCCAGGATGCGAGCGCGTATAGACAGAAGAACAGGAAGGCAGACCCCACATGAGCGGGGACAACGCCGGTAAGAATTGCGAAGCGTCGTAGACGACGCCCGCGTGCGCGTCCTACCCGCGGCTCTCGCGCCCGTCCCACAGGCGCTCCGTCGCCGCTGCCAGCGCCGCCGCCGCGCCATCGGGGCAGCCGTCGTGCAGTGCTCGCACCAGGCGCGCTCGCTCCCGCCGCACCTCGGTGCGCACAAGACGTGCGGCGCGGTCCCGGCCGTCCCGCGCGTGCTGCAGTACGCTGCCTGCCCGTCGACAATGGCCACACAACGGCGAGTTCCAACATCACAGCGCAGACACGACAACATGCCCTCACAGCACAGACACGACAACACGCCCTCACAGCACAGACACGACAACACGCTGTCACAGCACAGACACGACAACACGCTGTCACAGCACAGACACGACAACACGCTGTCACAGCGCAGACACGACAACACGCCCTCACAGCACAGACACGACAACACGCTGTCACAGCACAGACACGACAACACGCCCTCACAGCACAGACACGACAACACGACGTCCAAGCTGTGAGCACGACTAAAAAATGTACACGGCAAGAAAACAAACACGGCCGCTTAAGGTGCACGAGTACAAAATAAACGTTATCTGAAAGCAGTCGTAAAAATAACCCAGGCGCTAACTTTCAGGCTGCGGGTTCTCACGTGTCATTACCCGCGCCGTGTTAGGCGATGCCACTCCATTGATTTTAATAAATGTACAAAACGGTTCGGCAGTTTTTATTTCCCATGTTTGTCTTTACACCCAAATTAACTTTGACTTCGTTTGCTTTTTCACATTTTCCAGGCTGATGGGAGTCGCACCCACTTTGCTTCGGTGTGTTCACATGTACGTAAGTGCGCGCGCGTGTGTGTGTGCTCATCGACACTCACAGCGCAGCTGCTCCAGTGAACCCAGGTAGTGGTCGTGCAGCCGCTGGATGACCTCACGACACGGGTCGTGCATGCCTGGGCCTTCCCCCGCGGCCCTGCGCAACCGGCACGCGGACCACGCAGTACAGACGTCAGGAACTTCGACTCGTTGACGCGCGCGCACTCGCTCACCACCGCCCCACATCAATCCGGTCACCACTTACACCAACTCTGATGTCTAAGTTTGAGTTGGTTTTGTTCAACCAGGCGAGAAGTCAAGAGACCAGGTTAGAGACTAATTTGCAAGAGTGGCCTGGGTCACCAAAATAACAAAAGCAAACACGAAGCTGTTGCTGCAAGCAACAACTATCGTTTGACATTGAGGTGGTTCAGCCAGATAGTTGCGTACAGCAATGAAGTCAAGCAAATACGCCAAATCACTGCACCATCCTGTGCGGTGCTCATCTTGTGTCTACAGTCCTGAGCAAGAGTCGGGACGTCCACAAGTCAGGGACGAGTCACTTACCACTGCGCCACACGAGGCTCACTCAATGAGTGTCTACCGTTGGGCAATTGTGGATGGCCAAGCGGATGTAGTCGGAGGAGTAAATAATGAGCATCGCCCTCACCCCTTCGACGCCTCTTCTTGCAGCTTCTCCCTCAGCTGATGGTTCTCAGTGCGCAAGGTGTGCACAGCTGCTTCTTGCTCCGCTGAGCATTGGCACGCACAAACAAGCAGACACCAACGAGCACGGACACACCATGTAAGTGCAAATTTACACTGGCACGCGCGGTGTAATGGTCATCACATGACATGCAAAACAATATTTTTAACTCTCAGAGCTGGAATTTGTCCAAATTACGTATAGAATCAAGCTTTCTGCGATGGCTCATTGTGCAGTGATTGGTGACTGGACACAGTTCCATCAACTCACTACACTTGAGCACCCATTTTCTATTCTTAGGTTTTTTCGGTAAAGTCACGTAGGTAAAACATTAAAATTAATAAAAGTAAAATAAAATAAAAATCACGACGTTTCGGAGGCAACACAAGCTTCCGTCTTCAGGTAGAACCGTCACAGCCACGACAGCTGTATCAAGTAAATGAGAGATTGCAGGAGCTACCACTCCGTATATATAATGGTTGGAGAAGGGGGGGGGGTAAGGGCCAAATACAGCACACTTTTTATTAATATGGTAAGGTGAGGCTCAAGAGGGTGAGCCTTTGTTTTCTCCTGAGCTTTTATTTCACACGTTTTGCCGAGCAGAGGCCCAAACGTTCTCGGTAAGTGTGTCGCATAGAGAGCGGGTCACCCCCCGTGTGACCCGTGTCACCGCGCCGCCCGTACCCTGCCAGCGCATCTTGAGCTGCTTGAACTGCAGGCGGTAGTGGCGGTCGGCGTTCTGCAGCTCCCTGCACACTCGCTCCAGCTTGGCCTGCAGCTCGCCCTTCTCTCGCTCCAGCTTGCCCTGCCATTCGCTCTTCTCCCTCTCCAGGTGGTTCTGCAGTTCCCCCTTTTCTCTCTCAAGTGCCTTCACCTTCTCCTCCAGCCTCCCTGTATACACGCGCACACGCGCACACGCGTACGGCATATTGTCAATCCGCGGCTGGATCAAGGACTCCCTTAACCGTGCTAAAACACGATGGTCACTGTGGGTTTGCGTGGGTGGGACGCATTGATGCGGGAGCATATAAGTGCATTACAACAATGGATTTTTCTGCACTGCACTCTGTGGCCCAACCACACATTCCTGCCCTTCTCTGGCTACCTGTGTGGGTCTGGTGGACGCTCATCCAAGTACTTATTCAGGCTCGACATCGGGCACAATCTGAGTGGTTTGGTCACAGGCACACAAACACATGTACACTATGAGTACACAGATAGGAGGCGTTGTTATAATAGATGTAATCGTAAGAGGAGGCTGCAACTGATGGGGGCAGCTTACTGAGAATGCAAATACCAAGGGGAACAGTTTAAGTCAGATAGTTGAACAGTTAAACAGCAGATCTATGTCTGATGTTAATGACAATGTAAAGTGGATCAACAAAGCATCGGAACGTGACTGCATCTCCCGATGCTGTACAGCAGCAGTGGGCATGTTATCTCCCTCGCCTGGTACGCAGTAAGTCGTGGGTTCGATCCCGATCCTGATGCCTCTGTATTTGGAGTTCACGTGTTCTCTCCCCGTGGTCATGTGGATTTTTTTCCGCGACCTCCAGTTTTACCCACCACGTTTATAAACATGCATTTAGATTTGTCTGCACTTATCAATTCCAGCGTATAATATAAGCCAATCCAATGAGCTATCACGTGTGACCGGGTCACTTCTGAGAAAGAGCTAATAGCTCAGTGGACTTTACCTGCTAACATAAACAAGTAGTATCGTAGCGCAGCCAGAGGCAGAGAAGAGGAAAGGTCTGGAGCCTGGACTTGAACGGGGGCAGGGAGTCGATAGCATGGGAGGCTGAGGGATTCCCCAGGAAATGGGCACAGCAGAGGAGAATGAGGGACCGCTCACTGAGCCAAGGTGCCCTGGGGGCTTCGATAAAACATCTGGAGCAGAGTGTGCGATTGCGCAATATCTGCGGGATCTGTCACAAGGAAGCGAAGAGGTGTGGGAGCATTAACAGCTTTGGGTGCGATGACCTCTTGACCTTACGAGTAGCTATAGACACACACAAAACACAAGCACCTTCCCATAAAGCGGGGCTCAGGAGGTCTGGGTGCGATTGCTCAATTTTAAATAGTTTTAGCATGCGCAGCTACACCACCTATAGGTCACAAGAGGAGCTACATTCATGAAGTGATAACTACCTGTTTGTGTCATGCCATGTTCCTTGCCATTTATCCTGTGCAGAAACATTGCAGCATAGGAATAAGAACCATTATGAAAAGTGGCAGTACACACCTGTTTGGTGTAGTGAGCAATGCCGGCATGACATAACGGCGTACACCTGCATTTCTACACTGGTAAACGTGTTTATATGTCTGTTAGTATGTACACTCTTTGGTTATAAGTATGTTTGTTAAACCTCTTTCGCACCATACGTAGTCAACCGCGCTAATCGGAGGTGCAGGGTAAGGGCGACAAGCTAAACACAAAAAGTAGACTTAGAGAAATGAGTTTTCAATCTCGACTTCCTAATAGGATGATTTGCATGAATGACGGCCGAAGCGAGTGGTGACTGCGGCGAGCGGAGCGCACCGAGCACAGACTGGTGCTGCCGCAGCAGGGCACGGTGGTCGTGCTCGCACTGCGCCAGCGCGCGCGTCAGCTCCTGCTGCTTGTCCTGGCCCCAGCGCGCCCGAGCCTCAGCCAGCGCCGCGCGCAGCCTCGCGTCGGCCTCGCGCTCCCAGCGCGTGCGCTCGCTCGGGCTCCCCGCCCCGGGGCCGCCGTCCTCACGCCCCGTGCCTTGCGCTGGCCACCTCCCGTCCTGCGAGGTAACACGAGCCCACGAGTCGAGCCAACGAGTCGAGCCAGCGGCCAACAATCAGGAGCGTGGCCCTCATCCAGCCGTAACAATGTATTGCTGCTCGCTGCGGCTGCTAATCAGTAACCCTAACCGCATTGTTATTTCCAATACGATCATCATCAAATTTTCCATTCATGCCTACAGCGCATCCATTCACACCCCATTCCCATGCTGAATGTGTGCCCCAAAGTTAATTTTGGTTGTTGGCAGCAGCAGTATTTTGTAAGACAGCGAATTGCTGTCGTACTAAATACTGGGGGTGCGGTTGGAGACCCAAGCTGGAGGTGTGAGTTCGCTTAACAGATTGTAATCGGGAAGGAAACAGCCCCCCCCCAGTGTCTCCCCTAGTAACGGTGCGCCACTCCACAAACACAATGCAAAGAACTAATTTCAACCATTAAGGCAACAGATATCGAAATTTCAGCAATCACCTTTATACTGGAACTAAAGAGCACAATGTTAGTGAACGCTGAACCCAAGATGTGTACCTTCGTGCTGGACGTATGCTGCGTTGGTGTTGTCATCTCACAGCTTCTGCTGGTGCCGGACTGGGGTTCCTTTGCTTTCCCACAGCCGTCGGGAAGCAAGTGCTCCTCTCCTGCAACCTGGTGCGGTTCTTCAGTTTGGCACCCGGCATCCACTTTGCTGTCCTCCTTCTCTTCCGTCTGGCAGGAGTTTTCCTTTCCCTTCTGTTCCGTCTGGCTGTATTGCTCCGACCTCTCCTGTTCCGTCTGGCTAGAATGTTCCACTCTCTCGCCTTCGCTTTGACAAGCTGCATCCGCTCTCTCTGTGCCGGCCTGGCACGCCACGCTGACGCCCGCCTCCTTCTCAGGGTCCACCGCCTGCGTCACCGGTGTTGCCGCGTCAGCCTGCAGCTCGGTCTGCGAGTGCCGATGGGCCGTTTGGACCCGAACGGGCCGCGCCGACCCCGGCAACGCCGCCCTCCATTCCTTCTTCGCGCTCTGCAGCGCAGCCTCCACTGCCTGCACAACCACAGAACCGCACAACTGAAGCCTCAGCGGGGGCCGATCTGCGCTGCACGCCGACCAGGCCAGGAGGGTTTGGGTGCCGGCGAGGGAACCTACCTGCTGTTGGCGCCGTTCGTGCTGCCTCACAGCCTCCTCCAGCGCCTCGCGCTCGCGGCACATGGTGATGTAGCACTCCTTCACGCCGTCCGTCTCCTGGACCAGCCCCTCCAGCTTGGCTCTGATCGCAGCGCACGTGGGAATGTGTCAGGAACGCTGTTACGCATCATCCCCACAGGTGTTTTATGGGAGGGGGAGGCAGAACTAGACTGCCTCAAGCTAGTAACATGGATGATGTATATGTGGGTCTGAGCCACCAGAAGATGGGTAATGATGTGCCATGTTTTGTTGAACCACTGCTTTAATAGGACAAACAAAACTTGCATTTAACTACTTCCTGACCAAACACCGTCAGATTTGGACTACATTCCCACTTGGTAGAGAGGACGTACACAGGGCAGCCACCAGGATCGGTGTGGGTGGGCCAAGGACAATCTCATAAAACGCCACGCGACTGGTGGGAGACGCAACGCAAATTGAGCTGCGCCAAGCCGAAACGGAACCAGCTTTCAAACGCTGGCAGAAAAGCTTCTCACCGGAACGACTGCAGCTGCTCCTCGTAATGCCGCACCAGCTCCTCCTGCTCCTCCTGGAATTTCTGCGTGAGCTCCTCCCGTAGCCCGGCCTTGCCGTCCTCGTGGTACTGCTCGTACGTGCGCTCGCACCTGGAGCAGCACGGCGGGGAAGGGCGGATGCGCAAGACCTCGTTGGGGATGAATTGAGGAAGCACGGAGCTCGTCGTGGATGCTCACAATTGGCTGCGATGGAAAATGTGTCCTGTCCAAGCCCAAATAATTTTTCTTTACAGTCAACTGTGGCTGTTCTCTACTCCATGCGTTTCCTCTCTTTGTGACACCCAGAAAACAGAACATTTATGCTCCGACTGTGGCAGAGTTTTCCCCTCACCACCCAAAGGTATAAGTTAATATCTGGTTGGGATAAAATCAGCCCATCACCAGAAATCAAACTCAGGTTCCCCGGGTTGACAGGGCAGTGCGCTCACCACCGCGTCACTTCGCCGCCGCTCCACAATAGGCTAAAAGCGGCTCCCGCACCGACAGCGCTGTGATTTTATAACGCGGCACACGTGGCACCACACCTCTCCAAGGCTTCGCGCTTGTCTGCGTCAAAGTCGGCAACCATCTGCTTGATCTGCTCACGGAGCTCCTGGTTGGCCTCCATGAGCCGCTCCTCACCGCTCACCAGCTCGGACACCCGGACACCCAGCTCCTGGACATCACATTCATACATATTATAGGATCGGTATGTAAAACATGTTGTGAATATTTTAATAATCTATTTACTATCTTGTGGTGGTCCATACCGCATTTATGCAAGAGGTGACGTGTGATTGCAATGGGCTCTTAAACGCATGTACACACACGCTTATATACACATGTGCACGTGTGCGCACACCTCTGTCTCCCGCTTCAGTGTTGCATTCTGCTGCTTTAGTGCCTCCAGCTCCTTTGCAGATGCAGCGTGAGTAGCATGCGGCACGCGTGCGCTGGCCTGCAGCTCTCTCTCCAGTGCACTGCAGCGCACCTGTACCCACAAAAACAAAGACCCCCCCCATATAGCCATCGATAGTGTACACGTGAAGACCAACACTATGCCTGGCCACCTTTGTCTCCCCATGGCAGATGTTTACACATTACACTAGGTACTTAATGGAGGTTGAGCCGACGCAGGGGAGGCCAAGAACCAGTTTAAATATTCGCCAAAGTTATCGGTCATGTGTGGGAATCAAAATCGGGTTGCCGGGTTCACAGCATAGTGTGCTAACCACTACACTACCGCTCCGTACACCTATTCCTACACTCACCTGGGCATCCTTGGCACAAGCCTCGGCCTGCTGTGCCCTGGCCTCAGCCTGCTGCAGCTGCAGCTGCGCCTCCCCGAGCTCGGAGCGCTGGCGCTCCAGCTGCTGCCGCTTGGACTGGTTTCCCTGCAGCGATCGCTCCAGCTCCGCCTTCAGCCCGCTCACCAGACGCTCCAGGGGCTCCTCCCCAGCCTCCGAACTGCTCAGCGGCGAGGGCCACCAACACCAAGACACAGCGTGAGATCACGCACGGAGATGCAATAAACTTATACAATGTGGCTTTCAAATGGCCATAACAATATATATCCAATATTCATCTCTTTTCAATGCCAGACACTTTTGTATCTCCATTGGTAACGCTGACCATACGGCAATATCAGGTACTAATTTTATGCCGAGGCGACATAGGTAAAGCCCATGTCGGCTGGAGATGCCAACAGCTGGGCGTGGTAGTACCACGCCTATGACCCAGGACTTTTGGGGTAAGCGTTAGCGGATCAGCAGTTCCACTGCTGGGTTATATTTTTTCGTTTGATTTCCGTCCACACGTAAAATACTCACTAAAAAAAGGGATCTGACCAAACCATCCAACCATCCCTGCGGGAGCATCAGAGAGTGGTGTGCATGTGCGAAGCAGTAACCTGTGGACCCGGGGTGGTTTCATCACTGCGTTTTTGATGCCCAGCTCCAGGTAGGACTCTGAGAGAGCGAATTCTGCACCACCGTTCCGGCCGCCCACATGGACCCCAAACTTGGCGGCGCTCTCGTACATATTGAGGTGCTCCTTCAGTTCCGCGACCTCGTCCTGGGAGTAAACACGGAGCGAGGGTCGAGGGTTAAAATCCACCCGTCACAGCCCGAGGACTGCTTACACCTAAAAAAAGAGGTTGTACGAAACACATCTTCTTCATCAGCCATGGCCTATATCCACTGCTGTATGCAGGCTTCCCCAAGCCGTCGCCATCTCTCACCGTCTCGTGATGCGACTGCCAGTGGAAATGAGCACCCTCCAGCTCTCGCGTGAGCAAGAAGACTGTGCAGTAAAGCTGCTCATTGTGATCGTCTGCCACATTACGATGCGTATTACTAAGTAAACTGGATGTGCTAATTCAAGTCAAGCATCACAGTCCTGCGGCCCGAGTAAACCGGCCCAGTTCTGCCTTCATTCATGACTCACACAACAAAATATCCCCAGACACAGCAGCCCTTTGAGTAAGTGCCAAACTGCAAACAGCCCTGCACAGTTCACCGTGGCCCATTTAGGGTGAGGGGAGGAGCAAGCAGAACAAAAGGCAAAGGCACAAAAGCTCTTGGCTCCCTCCAATTCAGCCACAGCTGGTGTGTTTGTGTGTGTCATGTGTGTTGTATCTGTCAGTCATCTGAGTCAGTAAACTCATAAGAGCTAGGTCTGCCCCATGGCCTCCTACCAGAAAGTGCACCTAGCCTGGCACAAATGTTGTGGTGACGACAACCCCCCATAATGGTCAAATGTGGCTGTTGCGTATGTGTATACGTGTTTATGTTTGCGGTTCAGGAAAGGGCGGTCCTGCACAGATGCCATATTTTTCTGTCCGTCTGCTACAGCAGAGGTGTAGGAAACTCCAACAAAACCAACATCTCTGCTTTATTGACCTGGTCAAGGCCTATGATACCATCAGTAGGCCTGGGCTCTGGGTTACTCGTCGTGCTTTCAGAGTCCCTGACCCTCTGCTCACGATCATTAAGGACCTTCATGATGGTGAGCGGGCCCGGGTAAAACTACGTGGCCGGGAGTCAGAGCCATTCCCTGTTCACCTTGGGGTGCGATAGGGATGTCCTCTGGCTCCCACATTATTTAACATATTTTTCGACCACGTAGTTCGTGAAGCACTTCGATGGCTGTACCGGAGGAATTTCCATTTGGTACAGATACAATGGGAGGCTGATCGATGCCCGGGGGCGGTCAAGGGATGACTCCCTATTGCTCAACCACGTTATGAATGCCGACGACCTGGCAATTGCTGCTCATGCATAGGAGGAGTAGGAGGCGTTGCTGCTGAACCTGGGGCTTGACACTAAGAGTGGGGCCTTACCATCAGCCCCACCAAAACTAAGCACCTGCCTGGGTATTTTGTACCATCGGACACTCCACCCCCACAACTCCCAATTGGGCAGTTGTGGAGAGAGTGGAGAGTTTCCCATACCTGGGCAGTATGCTTATGACCTGCTCCGGTTTGACAGCAGAGGTCTCGCTCCAAATCAGTCGAGCGGCATTAACTTTTCATCGGTTGGTAACGCTGTGTGTGGAAGCTACCTCGTCTGTCGCTCCGCACGAAGCTTCAGGTTTTCTCGGCCACGGTCATTCCCTCCCTTCTCTACGCTTGGGAAACGTGGACCCCCCTAATGGAACACCTTGGCCGGTTATAAACATTTAGGCTGGCCTGCCTACGATCCATCCTGGGTTTAACCAAGCTGTATTGTGTGAGGAGCTCACAAATCCTTGAAAGATCTGGACAAAATCCCATCGGTGAGCTCCTCCGGCAGGCAAGGCTGCGTTGGCTTGGTCAGGTAGCCCGCATGCCCATTCACCGCATACCTAAACAGCTTTGCTTTGGCCAGATAGAGGGGGCTAAACAGGCGCGGCACGGGCTAGAAAAGAGATGGAGTGATGTGGTACAGGAGGATGTGGAGCTGAGTGGACTTGCCGATGACTGGTACCAGCGGTGTCAAGATCGGCCTCTGTGGAGGAGGTTCGTGAAGGACGCTACTGGGCAGTTGGAGACAGTCGTCCTCCAACAACAACGGAGGGCAGAGGAGCGACGCTCACAACAACGAGCGGAGCGCCGGGTGGCTAAAGCACAGCAAGTTGGCACAGTAAACGGCACAGGTTGGTGCATCAGCCAGTCATCTCAGTCAGTCGACCCGTGGCACCTGGGTTTGCCCCGTGACCTCCTGCCAGCGGGCATTCGACACTTCACGTGGCCTCAACGTGCACATAGCCTGGCACAAACGTCGTGGTGACATCACCACCACTTAGTGGCGAATGGCAGTTGTTGTTGTTATGTTTGGTTGTGAGCATATGTATTGTCGTGTGTGTAGATGTATGCATGTGTGCGAGTGTGCATGTCTCGCGCGTGCTTGTGCACGTGCGCATGTGTACGAGCACAAAGTGCAGGCGAGAACTACCTGCACAGCACGGTTTATACGGTCGCTTATGGTCCGCGCAGACAGCGCCTGCTGCAGCTGGATCTGAAGCTGCCCCATCTCCTGCACTGAGCCTGCTCGCACACACGCCGGACGTAAGGTCATCAAACCTCGCCGCTCGGCAACATAGGTACTCGACGACGATAAGATTAGCGGAACCAATTTTATGCCACATTCCCCCCCAACACCTTTCGGAAGTCAGAAAATCCTTCACTCGCCTGACTGCAGGAGGTCGCGACACTGCTTCTGGCTCTCCTCCAGGCTGCGGGTCAAGCGGTTAACCAACTCAGCACGCTCCAATCGGCCCTCCTCCGCCTCCCTCTCCGCCTGCCTCGCTCTCCCCTCCAGCCGCTGCACCGCCTCCTCCTGGACACAAGGTTGCCGTCGTCAAGGTACATTCACCTTGACCGCGCAAAAAATGTCCGGAAGAAGCTATCGGCACGTTGAGGGAAATATCGCACGTCGTGCCGAACAGCACATGGTGCAACCGCGAAAATCCGACGGACAGCTATACAACACAACCACGAAAACCTATACAATCATCAAGCTAACATTCTCTATATTCTGGGAGCAAAGAGCTTACATTGATGGGCAAGAATGGAAATCAACGTGTGAAGCTGTTTTGTGTTCACGGTCGAGAGGTGCGGAATAGCCAAAGCAGACCTGTTTCTGACCATTAAATAAACGTATCAAAATTTAAATGTATAGGCCTTAGTCCTATAATAAAGCAATTGCCCAGCAATAAAGAGCATTGAAATGAGGCTATCAAGTGTGAGTTGACACAAGCTTCTATAAATGAGTTAGTTTACATAAGATTGTAAGCAGAGATTCATTCTAAAGGACGCGCTATGTGAGGAAAGACGAGAAAAGTTCTGCCATGCAGCAAGGCAGCTGTAGACCGTACGAGAGAAACAGGCGTCTGCAAATCGTGCAGACTGTGTCCTAGGAAAGCACCTGCTGCTGAATGACGCTCCTCTGCTGGTCGAGATGCTGCTGCAGCGCCAGCACCTCCTGCGCGTGCTTCTGCTTCAGGGCGGCGAGCGAGCTCTCGTGGCTCTCCCGGGCTCGCGTCAACGACTCCGAGCGACCAAGCTCTTCCAGCTGCTGCTGCAAGCTCTCCATCGATGCCTCAGCCACCTGCAGCTTGCGCACCACCTGTTGGGTGTCAGGTATAGGTGCAGCCCTGAATTTAAGCTTGAGCGCTCCTCCATCCATTGGGTACTTGGTCTACTCCCCCACGTTGGACAGGCACCTTGGAAGAGGTAGGAGTACCCACACATTACCCCACCATACACGACTTCCCGATCAACTGTGGTGAAGTCATTTATATCACTGGGGAACACAACCAAGGAATTTAAGAAACTTGGCCATTGTATGAACCACCACACTGGGAGATCGAACCGGCGACATCTGGATTTTAAGTTCAGTACGTGCGGTTACAATGTGCACGCCAAAGAGGGAGCAGGTGAGGCCGTCTCGAGTACATTTTTCCAGTGTGTGACCCTGCTATGCCCGTCGACCGCTGCTCCTAACCCAGCAAGTCCCCACCGCTTGCCATCCCATCGCTGGTCACCTGGTCTTTGCCCAAGGTCAGGGCCTTGATGTGGGCATCCTGGGCCTGCAGATTCCCTTCCTGCATGCTCTCCTTCTCCCTGCCAGCCTGCACCAGCCGCTGGCACTCCTGCAGACTCACCATCAGGCCCTCCTTCTCTCCTACATGGAAGCAATGCACCACCGTATAATTTATTAAAATCATAAGTAGCTAACTATAGTGGTAATCTGAAATAAACGAGTCAAACAACAAGCAGACCCTTAGCAAGTGTCCCGCACATTGGGTGGCTTTTCACTATTTTAGTGAAGTCTAGCTCGAAGAATGAAATAGTTTGGACTGTTGTTGAGCGACACTTTTTAAACGGGATGAAGCAGGCCCAATCAATACTTGGTAGAGATGGCTGCATAAGGTCTAGATGGGAATGTGTCTTTGCTCAATGCTGCTAGTGGAATTGAGCATTGTCCACCACTCGTTTGAACAGAAAAGCGCTCTGACCATGACACAGCACGACGCTGAAAGAACAAGTATGTATGTATGTATGAAACAATTGGCAGTGTAAGCAATAGTCCCCACCGGTGACGAGCGCCAGCTGGTGGCTGAGGATGCGGAGGTCGCGTGCGCTCTCCTCCTGCAGGGTGAGCAGCTGGCGTGACAACTCGCTCACCTCCCGGCCCCGGGCCTGGTACAGGATCTGCAGCTGAGTCAGTTGCATCGCTTGCCCACCTGTCTCATGCACACACGTACACACACGTGCACACAAGATTAAGAGGTGTGATTACTATGTGGGGAGGCCTTCATTCAACAGCAGATAGATCATGGCTGCTGCAGGTTTGTTTTACCGTTTGTTGTTTCATTAATTAAAATATACCAGAAATATCATTTACACATAATTCGTGACATAATGCACATTCAGTGAGCATAAGAATCGGCTTTCAAGCCACAAATGGTTACATGTAAAGTATGTGATATCAGTGAAACAAGAACAAAGTATGGTTAGCTGCTGTGCTAAGGAGGATGAACTTATTTGTAATATAAGAACCATCAACAGACATCTGACACAAAGCCATTGCTCTCAATGCCCATCTCTCACCAGCAGCAGAATTCAGAAAGTCCTGCTGCATGGCGTTGAAATCTTGAGCAGCAGCCGACTCCGCCTGCTGCGGGGAGGGCGGCACCATCCTGTGGCCGCCAGAGCCCTGGCGGTACATCACGCGGTACACGTCCCCGTCGCTCAAACCCCCGGCCACCACCGGGCTCCCGCCACTGGCGGTGTCCCCATTCACTTGGCGGTGGCTGTGGTAAGCCGCGCTGTCAATGCCGTGCCCGTTGACGTGCCCGTTGCCATGCCCGTTGACGTGCCCGTTGACGTGCCCGTTGACGTGCCCGTTGACGTGCCCGTTGACGTGCCCGTTGACGTGTCCGTTGCTGTGCCCGTTGCCGTGCCCGTTCAACAGGGCGGCGCTGTGCTGCATGTCCCGGTATGCCGCCGGCTGCCCGTATCCTCCTTCAGCATCCGCACCATCGCCGGTTGGATAGTTTTCCTCAAAGGGTGTCCCGTCGGCACGAGCAAACCCCAGGTAGCTCTCGTCTGCGAGGACGTCGCTCTTGTTGGCATTGTCATCGCCGTCGAGCCAGGCATCGCCGTGGTGAGAGAGGGAGCCATCGCCAGACTTGTAGTCGTATCCGTTTGAGATGTAACTGTAGTCATTGTTGGATGTGTTGGCAGCATAGTGGCCATTAAACTAGGGAAACACACCGAGAAGGATGTTAAGATAGCTGGCATTAGCCAAAGCAAAAATAGGTTCGTAATCTTACAGTATTGTAACATGTTATTCATTGTCCTGGTATATGTTGAGAAACATAAGCAAGCAGTTTAGGAGCACTGTCTTGATTGTGCCAACGTTGTTTGAGAGCCTTGAATACCAAGGAATAAAACTGGATAGGGGCATTCACACCGCTCATCTGACAGGCAAAAGCTAAGTAAAAATGTGCTCACTTCTAAAAACCAGCACTAGTCAGTACATGGTGAAGTATGTTCAAATAACACCCGTCATGGGAAGGCCACCCAACAGCATGGGAAGACATTAAACCAGAGGTAGACCTGGGATCAATAACATTACAATTGTGAATTCGCAATAAATTAAAATCACATTGTAATTATAATTTCTGATAATCACTGTAAGAATTTAAATTATAAAAGAGCACAAGTCTGCCCAGCAGTGCTTAGGACATGTTCATAATGATCATCGCTTAGAACATGTTCATAATGATCACGATGAAAAGAGAGGCGTTGCTCATTGATACCGAGGCAGCAGTTGCTCTTTTCCCAGTGACGGCGGCGTCCTCACCTGTGTGTACCCAGCCTGGCCCAGGGCAGCCTGGCCCAGGGCACCCTGTCCTGTGCCGCCTTGGTCACCGTAGGTGTGCGGGGGGCCGTGCGCCGCGTGGGCCCCGTGTCCGCGGTGCGACGACGTGCGGTCGTCCTCGCTCTCATCACTCAACTCCGACGACGAGACATCTCGGCTGTCCTCCAAAAGGTCATCGGGAAGCGCTGTCGAGAGCAACTGCCGCAGCTAGAAATGGACAGTGACACAATAGGCGATCACGCAAATACACACGTGGTGTGGTATCAACCATGGTCAACAGGCAAAGGCATAGTGTGTGGTCCAGCTTAGTAAAGGCGTAGTGTGATGTGCCCAGTGATGTGTGGTGATGGTGTGCCTGGTGCCAGGTGTGGTGATGGAGTGGTGAGGTTGGCTCGGCGTGGAGCTCGTGTTGCACACACCTCCTGCTCCCGCTCGCGCGCGTCCTGTTCGCTCTCCTGCTCTTCGTCGGGGATTTGCAGGGTTCCGAGATCAAAGTCAGCCGACATCTCTCAGCAGCAAAACCCCACCTGCAGGAAACACAAAGGATTCACCGCACAAGATTAATACCTTGGAGACGGGACAATGAAGGCGTCTCACCTGCTGCTTGCTCACACTCCTGAACCCACCACACAAATTCTGCACAAGCTGTGCTGGTCCTGCACTCCACTGCACCCAACCACTCAGCATCTTCACCTTGCTGCTAAACGGACACCCCCACCGTTGCACACAAAACACAAGTCAACCATACAAAACACGTTCATTTTTCCAAATGTAAAACATTACATTGCTGTGTTCACCTTGGACAAGCTGCCATTGGGGGGCTCAGAAAGAACTGTGTCGAGACGTTTCGTTATGCTCGCGATATGGACGCCCGTTTGGTTATTGTTCTAAAAGCTGCACCCAGCTGCACCCCTCCCCCACTCTCCACAGCTGCGAATTTGCTGCACCCAGCCACACTCGACCACATTCTGCTGCATCAACACAGAGTGTGGTTCACCCTCCCGCACAAACCTCACCCCCTGCTGCACCATGAACGCCTGCGGCACAGACACAAAGCAGATTGTAAACACACCAACGACAAAGATGCCCCGTTGTATCCTCGACAGACTGTTGGGGGGGGGGGGGAGTGCTGTTAGCGAGCACCTTGGGGGTTTGGGTGGCCTACACCACGCCCGGCCGCCTTTGCCTCCCCAGCGGCGATTTTTACACATCGCACCAAATGTTAATTTGAGGCCGAGTCGACCTAGGGGAGGCCCAGTACTGGTTCAGATAATCAACACCGGTGTTGGCCTTGAGCGCGAACCGAACTCGGGGCTTAGGGTTCGTACGTAGCGGCGCGCCACAAGAGCCGCCATTCGCCACAGCGGTTGTGCCAAGCTAGGTGCACTTCGAAGCCAAACACACCACCACTACTATACCACCACTACACCACCACCACTACTATACCACCACTACCACACCATCACCACTGCTACACCACCACCACCACCACTACTACACCACCACTACTACACCACCACCACCACTACTACACCACCACTACTATACCACCACCACCACTACACCACCACTATACCACCACCACCACTACTACACCATCACCACTACTACACCACCACCACCACTACTACACCACCACTATACCACCACCACCACTACTATACCACCACCACCACTACTATACCACCACCACCACTATACCACCACCACTATACCACCACTACACCACCACTATACCACCACCACTATACCACCACTACACCACCACCACCACTACTATACCACCACCACCACTATACCACCACCATCACTACTATACCACCACTACTATACCACCGCATGAGACCAACACGATACGTTGCGTCCATACACAGCAAAGTCATGCACACACCCAGCAGGCTTACACGGACATAACGCATCCTTCTCCTGAAAAAGGGGCATTCTCCGAAACGTTACCCTGCGACTGTTGTCCGGTCTAAGTTGGGGGAGAGGGGGAGGACTGCTGACGGTGCCGGCCGCGCTTGCAAATACCTCAGCGGCAGCGCGCTCGGGGACTTTCTGTTGGAGTCGTTCGTGAGTCGGTCGGCGGCTGCGATCGCGCTCCGGCGGCCTCCATGAGGGAGGGCGACGCTCGCCCCAAACCGCGCGCCTTGGCGCCACTCGAGCCCCTCGTGACGTCACCGCGCACGGCTGGGCCCGGGTGACGTCACCGCGCACGGCTGAGCCCGGGTGACGTCACCGCGCACCGCTTCCAACTCGTTTGCGCGACGCGTCCGGAGCTCGTGACGTCACCACGCACGGCGGATTGAGTGTTTCGCGTGACGTCACCGCGCAGGGCAGCGCGCCTGCCCGCCCACTCGAACGACGGCGGGAAGCGAAGGCGCGCTTCGTGCTGCTGCTGCGGCTGCGAGCGGCACCAACGCCGCCTCCTCCTCCCCCTCCTCGCTGGCCGATCGAGTCCCCCCGAGTCCTCAGGCCCTCCCCGCCCCTCCCCAACGCCCCCAACTGGGGCCGGCACCTGCCAACAGCCGCCCGCACGTGTGCAGGTGCGAGACGGCGCGCCGCTGAGTGGACCGATGGCCCCCCAGTGTCCCGTGTGTCGCTCGACGCCAGATGCGTCCACGTGGACGCGTTCCCTCTGGCAGCGATCAATGTCCCTGCACCCGGTCGCGGTTACTGCTCGGAGCCGCCTTTGTCAAGGGTCTGGCATGGGAATTCAGTGGTGGCTCAGTGTTGGATGTTTGTAAAATGGGAGCTGCTTCCCTGGCAAAAGAAAGACAAGCCCTTAGAGTAAGCCCTTAGAGTAAGCCCTTAGATCTGACAGGTTTGTGTCACGATACATCGGTAACATCGATGTTTTCATTCCGATACTTAGACGCGTTGGAATCGATGTTGATACCTTCGATGACATTGTTACATTGATGATTGCTCCTCTTGCTGTATTATTTTTTCACGCCAAATTGTAAAGGTTATTAAAAGCACCCTGGTTGACATGTATCTTAGGTTGTTGACAGGCGTCTTTATATGTAGATAGGGTTTAAAGTTATCCTCTTCTGGGACGTAGACGTAGGGTTTGCTCTGGGTTGAGTGTTGACCTCGCAACAGCAGCTTTGTGTAAATTTTACAAAATATAAATCATTACATTTTACGACGGATGTATCTATTTCTGTCTTGTAATAATTATTTTTACGATATATCATAAGTCTGTGTTGAGTGTTCGCTATTCTATTTGCTTAAACAGCATTCCTTTTGAAGATTTGGATTAGCTCTTGTCAAGTTTTTTTTAAAGGCATCGAACATCCCCAAAACATCGATGTGTTAATAACAAACATCGACTGTTTGATTGATGTTTTTCATTCGGATGTCCGATCCCTAACGCGTGACGAGTTACTTTAATTAGCCATTCATTACTTTAATAATGAATACGCACCTCAATCATCCAAATCAGCCTCTCATCCCGGGTTCGAGTGTGGACATGCAACCCAAACTATGGACCACACAGGAAACCCATAGAGATGTAGAGATACAGAGGCACAGATACATCATGAGGCCCAATTTTACTCTATAGATAGTAAGAGAGGACTCGGACAATACTTTACTGTGAACCCAGATGGGTAAAACGATGTAATAAAATATATTGTTCCACACTTGTGATAATAGTGTGTCTGCTTCACTGTGACACTTCAAGTATCTTAAATGATACAACTTTAAGTCGAGATATCACAAAACACAGCCACTCTCCACTCTTGTCCAGGTATTAACTCACTTTTAATTGCCCTCCCGACTCCCTGAACCGCCCTTCCAACCCCCTGAACTGGTTCCTAACCCCCTGAATTGCCCTCCCGACTCCCTGAACCACCCTTCCAACCCCCTGAACTGGTTCCTAACCCCCTGAATTGCCCTCCCGACTCCTCTGAACCACCCTTCCAACCCCCCTGAAACTGTTCCTAACCCCCTGAATTGCCCTCCCGACTCCCTGAACCGCCCTTCCAACCCCCTGAAACTGGTCCTAACCCCCTGAATTGCCCTCCCGACTCCCTGAACCACCCTTCCAACCCCCTGAATTGGTTCTAACCCACGAAATGCCCTCCCGACTCCCTTTCCTAACCCCTGAATTGCCCTCCCGACTCCCTGAACCACCCTTCCAACCCCCTGAACTGGTTCCTAACCCCCTGAATTGCCCTCCCGACTCCCTGAACCACCGTTCCAACCCCCTGAATGGTTCCTAACCCCTGAATTGCCCTCCCGACTCCCTGAACCGCCCTTCCAACCCCCTGAATTGGTTCCTAACCCCCTGAATTGCCCTCCCGACTCCCTGAACCACCCTTCCAACCCCCTGAATTGGTTCCTAACCCCCTGAACTGCCCTCCCGACTCCCTGAACCACCCTTCCAACCCCCTGAACTGGTTCCTAACCCCCTGAATTGCCCTCCCGACTCCCTGAACCACCCTTCCAACCCCCTGAACTGGTTCCTAACCCCCTGAACTGCCCTCCCGACTCCCTGAACCACCCTTCCAACCCCCTGAATTGGTTCCTAACCCCCTGAATTGCCCTCCCGACTCCTGAACCACCCTTCCAACCCCTGAACTGGTTCCTAACCCCCTGAATTGCCCTCCCGACTCCCTGAACCACCCTTCCAACCCCCTGAATTGGTTCCTAACCCCCTGAACTGCCCTCCCGACTCCCTGCACTGCCCTTCATCTGCATGCAGCTGACAGCCTCCCCGTGGCTGCCCGCTCATCACGCTCACGACTAAGTGCAAACAGAAAATCCAAGAAAAGACAGCAAAATATTGCAGAAAAAGCACCGTACACCAACGCTGTGCAAAAATCCCAGTGGGATGCAAGTCAAACAACAACCACAAGACAACTTAGATTAAGACCATCAGTCTAACTTTCGTACTACAACAAAAAACATGGCCAAACCAAAAAAACTTCTCGAAAATCACCAAAATGAAGCCATAAAAGCAATGAAACAGTGATCATAGGAACTGTGACCGAATTTTCACAATAAAAGACAAACAACATGTACCACCAAACTCTGCAGCCATAGCTGGCTGCATGAGTCACTCCACAACAGCAGGAGCATCAGTCGGAGTATCAACATTTTTCAATGCACCTTTAAGATCGGCACACTAAATCAAAACACAGGTCATACTTTGCAGCGATCATCCGGAGCGAAACATTGTATTCTAGGCCACTGAATTGCAGTGGCAGCTAGGGGTGTACAATTCCTCTAGAGCAGTTTTGAGTGAAGATCTCATAGGTAGCGATTCAAGTTGCAGTTTATTGGCGATAGTATTCCAGACCCTGGGGGCATCAATAGCAAAGGCCCTTCCTCCGGTATTTGTACGGCAATAAGGAATGTGAAGCTGGTAAATGAGCGAAGACCTTAGGTCACATTTGTTCTTTGAAAGCCAGCCACATGAGTGCGATTGTGGTCATGCCACCCAAACTATGGACCATATAGGAAACCTGTCTGCGCTCTTTCAACGGAGAATAGCAAAAACTTCGTTAACAATGCGGGGATTGATTTGGTTATTTGTGTTATTTTCGTTAACCATGTTATTGTTATTATCGTCGTTGTTGTGGTGATTTAAATCGCTGTGGGTGTGAATTCCTACCCTGGGGGCGCCTTCTCGCGTCTCGCCACCAGGTGGCGAACCGCGAGCGCCGCCCTCGGGGCGCTTTCATTTCACGCAGCTCGCGCACGGGGGCAGCCATTTCAGCGGCGAGCCGCGGCGGAGTGGGGGGCAGCGGCCTGGAGGGACGCGAGGGGGGCAGGCGAGGGGGGCAGCATCAGTGGGGGCGCACGCAACGGTAAGGGCAGCAGGAGGGGAGGCAGTGGCAAGGGGTAACCAGGCAGCAGCAGCAGAAGCAGCAGCAGCAGCAGCGATGTCGGCCCGCGACAACGGCCCGCTGGACTGCAAGGTGTACGTGGGGAACCTGGGCTCTGGGGCCACGGAGTACGACCTGGAGAAGGTGTTCAGCTACTACGGGCCGCTGCGCTCCGTGTGGGTGGCCCGCAACCCGCCCGGCTTCGCCTTCGTGCAGTTCGAGGACGCGCGCGACGCGCGGGACGCGTGCCGCGAGCTGGACGGGCGCCTCGTGTGCGGCTCCCGCGTGCGAGTCGAGATGTCGACGGGCGAGCGGCGGCAGAAGCGGGGCTGGAGCGCGCAGCCGCCGTGGAGCCGGTGCGAGACGGGCACGTGGAGAGATGTGGGGGGGGGGGGTAGTGGCTCGCGAGCATTCGACACTTCGCGTGGCCTCAACGTGCACCTGGCCTGGCACAGGCGACGTCACCGAGTGGCCAATGGCGGGGTATTGGGGTCGGTTGGCGCTACGAACCCGGCGACCCGAGTTCGATTCCCGCTCGTGGTCAGCATCGGTGACGATTGTCTGAACCGGTCCTGGGCCACTCCGTGGGTCGACTCTGCCTTAAGTGGAGTAGCTGGTGCGGTGTGTGAACGTCGCCACTGGGGAGACAAAGGCGTGCGGGTGTGGTGCTGGGGGATTAATAATAACAACAATACTCGCCATTCATCTCGAGCGAGAGGGCCTGGGGCGGCTCGCTTCACCGTCCCCGTGTGCCCCGGCTGATTGTGTGGGGGCGGTGATGGGTCATTAGGCTCATAATGGCCATGCTACACCAATGACAATGGCCATCCAGGTCCTGTGAGTGATACCGTTGGCTGGCCGTATTTAAACCAGATTATCGTGTGTATAAGAGTTGTTATTTTTAAGCTCCGTCACTTATAACTGCACAACATTTAACTAGGTTTTTTTGCCACGTCAGTTTCCTATATTCTACCTATTGGGATTGACATTTGGCGATTACTACGTCACGGTATACGAGGGGTGCCCTTTAACGCGCATGAGGATTTGAAGGGAATTATTTCCGATCTAGTTTTGTGATGCCGTCTTTCAGAGGCTATTATCCACCAATGTGACGTTACACAGCTATGTGAAAAAAATTCAAATGCCAAAATGGCATACAGCCGATAGCATAACTGGACTAATTGGGAAATATATATATTTTAAATGCGTAGAGGTGGCCTCCCTCTGTCGGTTAGAGAGTCCGAGTGCTCATAGTTAAGATTCCTACCCACGTGTGCTCGTGAAGTATCGGAACATGGCTTAGACTTCCCCAAGGCAATTCGGCCAAGATTGTCCACGCTTGTACCTGGGCTCAGCCCTGAGAAGAGGCGTCTGGGTGTGTGTGATGCTGACTCCAATGGCTTGTTTTCCTGTCAAGTCAATTGTCAGTGTTTACCTGTCAAGTGGGGTGTTGCGCAATTGTCGGTGAACCTGGGCCATTGGTGAGGAACCAAGTCCCTCCATAGGATAAGTTTTAACTTCTCCCATGCAGTATTAATTTTTCAACCTGGGAGGGCCAATGAGCGAGTCCATCCATGATCAGGATTTGAACTTGTATGATGGATGAGTTGTGTGCTCGAACCCAGTGCGAGTTTATATAACCTGGCTGAATCGCTGCAGTTTTCTATGTGCATGCGTGTGTGTGTACTCCAGGTCGGAGTACGGCTGGAAACGGAGCCCTTCTCCGCGGCGGAGCCCCAGACGCTCCATCTCCCCGAGACGCAGCCCACGGCGCTCTCCATCCCCACGGCGCAGCCTGCGCCAGTCCCCTTCTCCCCGCAGGAGCCTTCGAAAGTCCCCTTCTCCCCGCAGGAGCAGCAAGCGCTCCTCGTCGCCACGCCGCATCCCCCGCCGCTCGCCTTCGCCCAAGCGGTCTCGCAAGCTGAGCAGCGGCAGCCCCAAGGCGAGCGGGCGGCGTGCGAGCAAATCTCGCTCGCGCTCCGTCTCACCCCGGCCCAGGAAGGCGGCCGAGGCTTGGCACTCGCGCTCCCCGCCCACTAAGGTCGCCAACAGCAGCTCTGGCTCCCGCCGGCGTTCACGCAGCCCCAGCTAGAGCGGCCCGCTGGTCCTCGCTACCCGTCGTGCGCAGCACGGCCGCCCCCCCCCCCCCCACTCCCAGGGACGTGCGGGCCAACGGGAGTGGCCCGTAAGCATCGAGTGTTTGTGGTGACGAATCTGGGACGTTTTCAACTCTGTTTAACTGTAGGTAGCTGCTTGTTAGAAGCACGTGTCTTTCAGCAGATGGTTATTTATTCCCGATGTAGTTTGTTTTATTGTGATTGCAGTTACAAAAATAACTTGAATTTGAAAAAATTCCAAATCATAGTCTTCTACAAGGCCAGAGAAATGTTTCAGCCACCATGTTGGGTACGTGGGTTCCCGTCTGATCCGCCTGTATTAATCCCATCACTTATGTGGACCCATGACAGGTCATTAGTGAACACAGGTCGGCAAAAACAACGGGCAGACGGGGTCGTCACGACACATTTGGGGCGTGGAGCACTGGCATTGGATGCAAGATGAGAGTTGTGAGCTGTCAGCTTAACTTTAGTTTTTATGCATTGGCAACCATCCTGAAGGTGACAGCAATTGATGGTTGAATTGCGAGTGCGAGTTTCCAATCTGGGCTGTGACGTTTGTCTTCTTTTGTACCTTTGCACCCCGTGTCGAATGCCGGCAGAGAGCGAGCGTCTTCACTTCACTAAGCCCAGGCTGCCTCCGTCATCTGGTCGAGTCGTTTGGCAGAGTCCCGCGGAGTCTTGGTGGCATTAGTTTGTCATAACAGCTAGGTTTGTTTTCTTATCTCTCCATATACATTTTATGCATGGTGTTAAGGTGTAGGCGTCGCGTGTGCTGCTTTACCAGCTTTTCGGTTTTAGTTGGAGGAAAACGAAGGAAAGTATGGATGTAAATATGGCTTGCCGTTTTGCTTAATAAGCGGCAGTGCATATATCCGCAAACTACTGATTAAATCCTAAAAATTTTCATAAAAACAACGCATGGCATCCGTGGATACACGTGCAAAATAAATCAGCAGTTCCTTGCGTATAGCAGAAAAACTAGTTTAATCGCACGGTCATGTGGGGCTGGAAGAAACCCAATTTTCAGGTATTTGGATGTTCTGCGAATTCCGATATACAATTATGAATTATGATCAATTAATTTGCTTGGCTGTCATCTGGAGTGATAATACCCATTTGGCTCAACACCTGTAAAAAGGATTTTAGTTGCAGTTGATGAAAACCTTTTTTTCTGTAAAGGGCAAAGATTATGACCTATTTAGTGTTGCCATTTTAGTGTAAAACCTGGTTTAGCTGCGAAGCCATAGGAGCTCCGCTTTGATGCAAGTGTGACAATTCAATAAAATAGATCCATGACAGACAACTTGAAACTTCATTTTATTCTGCCGTTGAGCCTTGGCTACAAATGTCAGAAAAGTTAAATGGAAGAATTAAAAACATCTGGATAAATTGATGACATCACTCGTACGTCTACAATCGCTTAATAAACCACCTTTGCAACGTCAGAGCTGTGATTGTATTAATAAATTTCTACGCCGCCTTACGAGGAACACGCGATTCACATTAAATAGCTTTTAAATTAAATCATCCCCCTAAACATTCATTTCCTCAATACAGTGCTTGGACTGGAGCTGTTACACAAAAGCAAATAGTTTTCAATGATTGGATGCATTAAAACGCAGTGCACAAAGTGACGCTCGCGGTGCCTTGCCTCGCCGCCCCGAGCGTGACGGTGAACCGCGTCTGTCGGGTTTTCCTTGTGACTGCGGCACTCGGTGCGGTTGACTTTGGCGTAGGGGGATCTGTGACAGAAGCCCTCGCTGGGCCCTGAAGCGAGCGAGCGTTGACGGCTGGCAGCCATGCTAAACAGAACCACGGTTTGTGCGGCATAGTTGTCAGTAACCCTCGTTTGGTTGAGAAGTTGCTGTTTCTATTGCTGTTGTTTGACTTTAAAGGCCAGTTTGAATTTTACATGAGCAACGGTGGTTGTCGTACGGAGAGACCGATACCCTACATAGGATTGTGGAATTTCCGCGGCTGACTCAAGGACTGAAAACAGATGAGCAACAATTATTGTTCGTGTGAGCAAGGGACGAGTTTTTTTTGTTATTGTAAATCTACTGGCTGTGTTCCGTTATTTCGGCAGCCACGGTGCAGTTTGGCGCGTTCCAACCGGGAGGTGAAACTGCACCTTTCAACCTCCCGTGCTCAGCCCTCCCGTGCTCATCCACCCGCGCTCATCCACCCGCGCTCATCCACCCGCGCTCAGCTCCCTGTGCTCAGCTCCCTGTGCTCAGCTCTCCCGTGCTCAGCCGCCCGTGCTCAGCCGCTCGTGCTCAGCCGTTCGTGCTCAGCCATTCGCGTTCACCGTGGGTGACTCAACGGTGTCAGCCACATCCAGTGCCGTCCGCTCAAAGCAGTCGCGTCTCACCGGGAGCCGGAAAAACCACGCCGAGCGTGGGGGGGAGCCCAGTACATCTCGGGGCCCGATTATTCAACGTGGCCCCCTCTTCCCATCGGGTGGTGACGGAAAAGGCATCGCAGACATCCAGGCGACCAGCCACAGTCCCTGGTCTCCGAGGGCAACTCCGCCATTACGTTGGGGCGAGCGGGGGGAGGGAACGATCTGCGGCGCCGGTCGTCACACGTAGGAGACGCGGAAAGCGGCGATCTCCATGGGCGCCAGCTCCACCCGGCTGGCGTTGGGGCCGGCCGGCTGCGAGTGCAGCAGGGTGAGGCTGCTGGGGGTCACGCTGCGCAACCTCAGCTTCCGGAAGAGGTCACCCAGCGAGAGCTGCGGAAGCGAGTGGTGACGTTAGGCAAATGTTACATTTCGCTCGCTCATGCAGGCAGAGCTTTGTCACCACTGCAGCAAGGGGTGCTTCAGGTGGGGTGGTGGAGACCGGTGTACTTTGTAAAACGCGACTTTGCATTTAAGTGGAAACCTTTACTGAGCGAAAGCCCACTGTGAAAACCAGTCTGGCATGGGAGACCTGGAGTACACAGAACTTGCCCAGCATTGCTAACGATGACTGGGGCAAGATATCTCGGCATTAATGTCGATCAAAGCGTCTCCCTTAAACAAGCACAGGGTGGTGCACGCCTCCATTAGTAGTTCTAAGATCGTTGCGGAAATTCTGCATTCCCCATGACGGGCTAGTCTTCAGGGAAAGACCACTGTTGATGGCAATGGCATTACTTATGTCCACGAAATCCTCAGTCTATAGACTCGAGACGGGGCCTGAAATTTAGATGTTTGGCCCATTTCGTACCCAGAGTGCCTTGATATTTTATAATTAAAGAAATAAAAATCTATAAAGAATCTTCTAAATGCAAAGCAGGAACAACCAGTTTCATCAAATAATGTAGGGAAAATAAAACAGCAGAGCCTAGGCAGTGACCGAACACAAGTAAAAGTAAATCATGAAAAGAAAATAGGGTTACATCGGTTAAAATATTAGTACCAAATCCCCACCATCTGGGCAGACATCAATTTCTGTCATGTCAGGATGAACATTTGGCATTTAAAAACCGTAAATCTGCACAGATAGGCGAGCACACTACTTGCTGCCCTCGGATCTGCATAGCAACGTGCCATCGTGGGCCGAGCGGCGTACCTTGCCCCCCGTGGTGGAGCAGTTAAACCCCCCCAGCCCCGCACTTGGAAAGCCGCAGTCGAACCCCTTCCTGTGCAGCAGGAGGGCGGCCTCGCCCGGGGAGCCGACTCCCTGGGGGGAGGGGAGGAAGAAGGAAGCAGCACGGCCAGCAGCACATGACCCTCGCTCACCCCTAGTTCTCTCACATGGATCTGACACACATGGTTTTTTAATATTGTGCTCGCACATCCAATGCACTCTGACCAACTGATACTGTCATGCCTGGCTCTTTTACACCTGTATTTCAAAAACCTCCTTGTCACACCTCATGCCTAGTGTTGACAGCACGTTTTCACACACCTGATGCTCTCTCACCTGGAGCTCCGTGGGTCTCGCACCTGGTTCTCACACCTGGGTTTCACCTAGCGCTTTCACACCTAGGTGTTCACACTCGTAGTTCTCTCTCACCTGGCTGCTTCATTAGGTGCTTTCACACCTGGCTCGGACGCGGTGATATTCGCACAGCCGGTTCTCATGCACCCGCTCTCCGTGCCACTCGGCACTCGCAAATACATTCCGTACCGGTGCCTCCATCATGCGGAGGTTGAGCAGGTGGAGGTCGCAGGGCACTGGCGTCCCCAGCACGTGGAAGGAGGGCAGCAGCTGCGGCGGCTCGGCGAGCGGGGACAGCCGCTGCTCGACCCCTACCAGCACGAACGGTGGGTGGTTCAGAGTGGCGGAGGCCACGTGGCCCAGCAGGGACGGAAATCCCAGCGCGGCAGCCTTCGTCGCATCCCATTTCTGCACACAGGTCAGGAGGTGATGGGTCAGGAGACGAGAGGTCAACGAGGAGGAATCGGAGCAGGACTGGAGTTGCATGGGGCAGGAAGTTGGGTGGATTCGCAGGTCGATGATGAAGCCCCTGACTTAAAGCTTTCGTGACTGCAGGAATTCATATTCTTTGGGTCTTTCGGTAAAGTCACGGAGATAGGTTCAAAGATAATAACGAAACTACGACTTTCAATCGCAACACAAGCGTTCGTCATCAGGAAGAAAAAAAAAGAGGGAGACAACTGTTGTCCTCTTTTGTTATTTGTTTTATTCTCCGTGAACCTATCTACGTGACTTTACCGAAAGACCGAAAGAAGATGAAGCCCCTATTTGCTGAAAACGTTCAGGCTTCTTGTACTGATCTGGCTTATTTCGTTAAAGCCGTACACACCCATTCTTTTTTTTCAGCCAAAGCTAGCAGCCATGTTTAATATGTCCCAGTTACCGTGGTTCCGATTCCCTTTCTGCAATGTTTTGTGAGCACGGCATCTTGAGAATAATGAATCTGACCGGCAATGCATTTCGCTGTACGACCGAAGGATTACACTTTTTTGCAGGAAAATTTAGGCTTCCCATTTTTTTGTGCTCAAGTCTGTAGTGCCAGATGTTTTTGTAGAAGACGTACATTCACGCTCAACGGCAGGGAAAGCTGCTCGACACCAAGTGTCGTGCGTCATTCAACAAATTTGTCTCGGCTGGAATACTCACACTTAGTCCACTTAATTTTGGTTTTTATGAGCAATTATTCTTTACAGGTCAAAGAAGGTCAACTCGACACTTGAGTACTCCATTTAATCATGCACGAGTTATATACGGTAAGTCCTCGCTTGACACGTGGTGTTCACACAAGGCGTTTTCACTTTGCACAACGGGGTACGCGCCCCGTTGGAAGGCAGAGCGTGTGCCATAACGGGGTACACGTGCCGCTATAACGTGGAGGGTGCGCCCATTACAACATGGAGCATGCGCCATTGTAACGGGGTACGCGTCCCATTATAACGTGGGTTCAAAGCGATCGACAAACTACTTTCTTGAGCTGTAAAGCTGAACGGTACGATACAGTACACGGAATGATACAGTACACGGAATGATACAGCTTAACGTAGCACTTTTCAGGAATGCAGCACATCAGGAGAGAGTCCTTGCCTATAAACATGGAGCAAAACTGACTGCTGATGTGACGATGGCTGTCAAAACCACTCTTGAGTTTTGTTTGTCCTGACTCACTGCTGCTGAAGTTGCGCACTTTTACACCAATGGTGTGTAAGAAAGGTTTCTTATTTGGAGCAACATATGTGAAGGAGACATTGCTTATCTCTTGTTTAATCGTCGGTGGCTTAAACCTGGGAGAAAAAAGGGTTCTAAGAGTTCCGTGTGACGTGACTCGGTTAAAACACAATCTTGGAAAACACTTTTCAACCAAGCTCAAAGCGTTAACGCAGGAGCTCTGTCCATCTGTGTTTACCTGTAATGGGCAGGGGAGGGGGGACAATAATTATCCTGAAGATGATCCTAGATGAATTAAACGCGAGTGTAAAGTTGTGTTGCTTTTATGGCCTCGCCATAGAGAAATAAACAGCCACGTTGATCAAATCTGTCATCCGTGTAACAAATAAAATAAACTCAAACTCATATGGTGGCCACGGCCATCCCTAGCAGGGCCGCATTCCGAGTCTCATGTCGTGTCGTCCTACGAGGATGGGTTGCTGCTTTCGTGCCAGGCGCGAGCGCCGCCGCCGTCACCGCGGCTCGTACCGTGCCGTCCGGCGAGCGAGTCTCCAGGAGCAGCCGGAAGCGGCTGAGGCTGCGTCTGTTGTCCTTGAGGCCCTGACCCAGGCCGCGGTTGTCGTCCTGTATCAAGCGCCGGTCCAGCATCACCTCGAGCTGCCCTGCACGTGCACAAGCGCAGCCGCCCACTGACGCCCCTGCAACTCGAGAGTGTGTGTGTGCGCACACACGGCGGCCAACACACCCACTCCAGCCCTCTAGACAACACCAGCCGCCATTCACCACTAGGTGGCGGTGACATCACCACAGCGCTTGTGCGAGGCCAGGTGCACTCCAAGGCCACTTGAAGC